ATATGAATTCTTTCTTTTTACTCTCCTTTGGCTGATCTGGGATGGCAGTGCCCGCCCTTCTGCAATTTGCATGTCAGTTTTACTTGGTCTTTGGTTAGGATCTAGACATGTGACATTTCCAGGTATAAGAAATCCATGCTGGGGTTTCACCAGTACTACTGAAGCAGAAGCATTCTATTGCACACTGAGCCAGTACTCTAAAACTGAAAACTTAGGAATGAGGAAGTCCACTGGTTTCTTTCCTCAAGGACATACGGTGTAGAAGGGAGTAACAAAATTAACAGAAGTAAACAGAGACAGCCAGAGTAGTGACTCCAAGAAACTCCCCCTCTTCCCTTCAGTATTATTATCTAGGCTACTTAGCGTTAGGCAAATGCAGGTCTCTTTGTTTTCAGTCTTCAAGCCGGGACCCGGTCCTGGTCCCTGACAGGCTGCTTTTCTTCAGGGCTCTTCTCCCTTGCCCCCTCCAGTTGCGAGCCCTTGGCTGACCCTGATGTCAGCTTCTTCTCGTCCTGGTCTGTTACGCCACTGGTCCTCCCTTGCAGGGTTGGCGTTTGAACAAGAAGTTCAGGTCCTCTGTAGGTTCCTTGTGCTTTGGAACTTTCCTCAGCCTGGTGTAGTGTCCTCACGTAGACACTCCCTCAGACTTCACTGCTGTGTAGTGAGGGGCACCTGGGCACGGTCTGTCCACTGCATCAATGGTCTCCAGGCAGTCCAGTCTCAGGCAAGTCAGCTGATGTAAACCGGCAGCCCCCCCCCCTTCCCCTGTGCCATTGCAAGCCGCAGGCGGCAACCAGCCAGTGGCCGCAGCTTCACCCACTGCAGGCAGTCAGTTAGCCAGGCACAGCCGGGCAGCCAGCATGGCTGCTCAGGCCTTGGAGAAGGAGCAATGCCAGCCAGCTAGCCAGTGTCACAGAAATGTGGAGAGAGGTGCCTGCCAGGACTGGTGCTGGAGAGGACCAGCCCCCCCCCTTGCACCTCCATGCCAGGAGTTGCCCTGGTGCTGAGGAACAGCCATGTGTGCCCCAAGAAAGCTCTGACTGCCAGTTTTCCAAGCCTGTGTTTACAGCTTTGGGAGAGTTTGACAAACAGCCTCCTTCCTCTCCTGAGGCAGCTGGTATTTCCCCCTGTTGAAAGTCAGAAACCCAAATACTGCACCTGTTCTTGTGAGGTTTGCATCTTCTCCTCGTTGACCCAATGAAATCCAGTAGATGTGCACTGGTCTGGTGGCCTCAATGGCAATTAAAAGATTGTTCACATACTGCAGTAAAAACACCATTAGAGTCCATCCAAGTTTACATAATTATAAGCAGAAATTGGGAATGGGCTCTGTAGGCCACATTGCCCATTGTGTAGGCACCATGAATCAGTGGGGCTTACTCTTTCACCATTTTTAAGAATCCTCAAAGGGAACCTTAAGAGGTGGTGCCATTCACTGACCTGGGCTTGTTTGGTATACGATATGACATAAAAATGACTTTGAGAGGGAAGAGCATAATGGTTTAGAGAACTACGAGATGGAATATGTTCTTGACCTTCTTTAAAATAGTTAAATTTCATTTGCAGCAACAGTGGAATGAAACCATAACAAAATCAATATAGCTTTACTTACTGGAACTTTCTTCCAAGTAAGCATATATATAAACTTGCCTCACAATAAAGCACCATTAAACTTAGTGGGACTCACTTCTGAGAAGATACATATAAGCAGGGCTTTTTTTGTCATAGGACGCACCGGAATGGTGTTCCGGCACCTTTTTTTGACGGATTTTTCCAAGTGATTTTGAATCGCCCTGTCAGGCGTAGCAGGTCGGTGACAAAAATCATTAAAATAGTGCATGCGGGCTGCTTGTGTGTCCGGCTGATTGTGAGGGTGCTGCTCAGCTTGGGATTGGTCATGTGGTCGTGCGCTGAGTGCTTAACTGCTGGCAGCGACAATTATGCTTATGTGTGTGTGTAGAGTGACTGGCTACGTGCAAAAGGTAAATAAGTTCTTTATTTCAAAAAAAGTTGGTGAACTGAAAATCTTTTTTAGTGTAAAAGTGTGACCCCCAGGGTGAGTTCCGGCACCTTTTTTTTTTTTTACAAAAAAGGCACTGCATATAAGAATGCTGTGTAAAAACAGGAATTGTTTAGCTTCTATCCAACCTGACTTTTCTTCCTTTCCCCCACCCTGGAATCCTCAGGTTTCATCACACAGCGTTTAGAAGGGCCTTTTTGGCAGCTTCCCAGTAGTTGTAAGTCACTGCAGGGGAAGGAAGAGATGGAAAACTTCCCTTCTGTTAACTTCCTTAAGCCAGTTTAGTTCAGGATCCAAGCCATTTTATCAATCCAAAGGATCAGAAAACTTGTATGGTTGCTACTTACCTTTATCTAGAACCATAAAATCCTGTAAAATAGGTTTATTTATTTATTATTTATTTATTTGGAGTGCTTGTATGCCTCCCCATTCGCAAAAGCCTCGGGGCGGCTTCCAACAAATAAATAACAATATACAAAAATATACAGAATTGGAAACATCCCGGAGTTAGATAAAAGCAATAAATAATTTAACAATCCATTAAAATAACGTTTAAATAAAAAGGTTCAAAGAATAGTTGGAAGGCACCGAAGCAGTTGGGTTGCAGAGCCTCAAGTGCTTCTGCACGCTGATGGGGAGGTGGCCAGCCAAGCACTGTGTGCAGCTACTGTCAGTTCCTTCAAGAGGTACATGCAATAAAAGAAGCTGTCTATTAGTAGAATTCCTCTCATTGCTGGCCTATGAATTGCAGTCTGCTCCCCCTCCCCTCAAAGGGCAATTATGAGGTACAATGATTTTGAACAGTAAATCTGTCTGGGGGAATTGAAGAAGGCAACCCCTCCCTTCTTATGTCAGGCTCCATTTTCAAGTCATGCCAAAGGCAATATTCTTGATTGCCAGGAGATGAGAGCTAACAGTTCTCTAAAAGCAACAGCAATTCATTCACCAAGAAAAATAGTATAATTCAGTTACTGGTCTGGCTTGCACATAATGGTAACCAATTAGGATTGAAAATGTGGGTGCCAATAAATGGAGGGAGGTACTAGTATTATAGCTATAAAGCATGATTCATAGTGTTCCTGATCACAGAGGAACTAAATCCTTTGAAACAAACATGCTGTTTCTGTTGCATCATTAAGCGTGATTGCAAAGCATGATGTATGTCTAACAAGATCTGAGCTGTTGTTGTGAGGAAAAATACGAAGGCAAGCTTCGTTTCTTTATCATGGGGTCATAAGGGGTGACTTCAAAGGTGCCCTTCTGCATTCAGGATGAGCCTTTTCTCCAGGGTGGCTCAACTTTAACCTCATGATAGAGCATTACTTGAGAAAAAGGACATGAATTCTGAAGGCACTCATTGCTTTGCAGAAGAGCTTGTACAGTCTCTTGCACAAGCAAGTGTGAGAAATCCTATAGAATCTACTTATTACAACACTGACAGCTCCTTTCCTTTTGTTTATGATTAGTTTGAAAGATAGTCACCATGAAGCTTATTCATTGTACTGCAAAATACTGACCACAACCCAGAGAACCTCCCAGGGGATTTGCCAGGTCTGCTTTCCCTTCATTAATCTGCAGGAAAAGTCAGGGCACGCGGCAGAGCGAAACTAAAGTTGCCCCCAGTAGCTTTGCTTCCCAGTGGGCCTCTAGAACATCAGATGGAACCAGAGGTACACTGGGGAAATGGTGAGGCAGCTGTGACTCCAGCTTTGCTCCACAATGCACCCAAACTATTCTACATTTTAAAAAGAGAAGATGGTGTCACATGCTTTACCTTTTTGAAGGCAACCAAGACAACAGAGCAAAGGAAAGCCATGGTGGGGTAAAATTAGAATTGGGACTCATGAGCACAGCACTGGCCCTTTATCAGCAGTGACGCTGATACCATCTGATCTTCTGCTCAGACATTGCTTTTGCCTGCTTCTGCTGAAAATGAAAACTGATAGATCTGGTTTGCTGATACGGATAACACAACTGCCTGCATCTTTGGGCTCTTCTGGGGAGTGTGGCTATGGGACTGTAAGGATGAGCAACTGCATTTATCACTGCACCCCAGTAGAGGGTGATTACGATGGCCCCTGAGGAGGGTGATCATGCCCCTCTTTTGCCTTTGAGGAATATCGGAACAGGAAAATGGTTCCTGCAGGTCTTCAGTGAACCCCCTCTCTCTGCATAAATGAACAGCAGCTGTAGCAAATGGGGGGGGGGGGCATTTACTGGGTTGCTTCCCCCTGTGTCCTCCTGACATGCTCTGCAGTGCATCAGAATTTCCCCAAATACTTTGCAAGACTCGTAGAGTCTTTCAGTCCTGCTGCATGTCAGAATGCTGGGCAGAGGGGTGAGCTTCCTTAGCTCCCCCGTTTCTAGTACTACCATCCCTTCATGCAGGTAAGCAATGGGGCTGATGTGGTGGGGACACTTATTTTATGAGCCTCTCAGAATGTCTGGGGAAATGAATGGAATTGTCCTCCCTTTTGAGGAGAAACACATCCGTTCACTTCTAGGTAAGTCGGGGAAACCAGAAGACTTTCTCCAGTCTCTCACAATACATTTCTTTGTGAGTATCCCAGAACACTGAAGAAACAAAAGCTTCAATTCTGAAATATGTATGTCACCTGCCCTTTTGTGTGTACATTTTCTTCCTATTCCTCTTTTCTGTACTCTCTTCTGGCACAATCCATTATTTCTGTTTGCATTCTCTGCAGCTTCTTGGCATTTGTAGCTTTCAAATTGTTGCTTTTCTTTCCCCTCTTTTCTTCAAATTTTAATCGATCTATAAAGTTTTCAGTGTTGTTAACAGGTGTAAGCTGTTATGAAGAAATTATGTACTTCATGCAGGAATTAACAGTGCCTTAAGTAAAGTCACATTAAATGGCAGCACAGAGCAATCCTTGTTTAAAACTTGTGAATAGTCTTTTTCTTTCTGAGTTATGAAACAGTTAGAATGTTTGACTGACATAGATAATTCTGTTGTTGGCAGGGAAGGCCGCTCTAACACCCACTTGAAAGGAGATTACCAAAGAATTGGTGATGTTATGCTGAAGAACATTCAGAGTATGAAGGTATGAATTACACGTATGAATGTAAACATTTAGAGTTTTAACCCTAGTTTATACTGGATGAAGGTTGGATTGGAAAGCACATGCATGCTCTTTCCATGAATGATAATAGGGCATCCCTTGCTGCATTTGTTTACTGGAATGAAAACAAATCAGTTAATTTCCGGTCAAGAGTGAATCTGCAGTTACAAAACTCTGGATTTTGCAAGTGTCCAAAATGAAAGCACAAAACCAATTACTTGTGTCTCTGGAACACACACATGAATGTGGCTCAGTAGAGTTGCAGATGACTGGAGCAGCACCCAGCTAAGATAACAAGGAATTTAATTGTACAGGGGAAACTACTGAGGCAACATTCCTGTCTGACCATGCTCCAGTAGAAGATTGGAGCGTTTTCTTTTTCTAAACTCTCCTTACTCTTGGCCTGTGCTCAGGCAGTAGCACAGAGTGAGTATAACAATGTTGGTTTCTTAAGGCTGGCTCCAGTTGCATTCCCCCTTTATTGCTGAGCTACAGCTGCCATCCTTCCTTACATGGGTCATGCTGGCTGGGGTAATGAGAACCACTCCCCCCAAATGGTGGCACCTTTTAAAGTGTGCTAACAATGGGAATTCCAACTTGTTTGAGCTCAGTGGATTTCTCTCCCACTTCCAGTCCAGTACCTTGTAAGCAGGGCCAAGCCATGGTTGCTTTGCGGACCTCAATCTCTAAGACAGACCATGATTTGTTCATATGTTAAAAAAAAAAAACCCTGCTAAGCCATTTTTCACAAATTGCGATTTGCACAAATCACAAGCAGAAATTTACATCACTCTAGTACTATTCATAGAAATTGCACTAAAACATTACAGTTTTTACTTACAGTTTGCACAAACCATGTTTGTCCAATTTGTACAAATTTCCGTAGCATTTTTAAAAACGTGTAAACCATGACTCATACTAAAGATGGAAGTCTGTGAACCAGAGTCCTACTCAGCTGCATCTAGATGGCCAGGCCTCATCTGGATTACTGCCTTCTGGGCACCACAGTTGAAGAAAGATGCAGATAAACTGGAAAGGCTTCAGAGGAAGACAAGGATGATCCAAGAACTGGGGGGAAACCCCTATGAGGAGGCATTGAAGGAACTGGGCATGTTTAGCCTTGAGAAGAGAAGACTGAGAGGAGGCATGATAGTACCCTACAATTACTTGAAAGGCTGTCAGGAAGAGGAAGGCCAGGATCTCTTCTCAGTCATCCCAGAGTGCAGGACACAGAATAAAGGGCTCAAGTTACAGGAGGCCAGATTCCGGCTGCAAATCAAGAAGAATTTCCTGACTGTCCATTCCTGAATGTGAATGGACCTAATGACCAAGGAAGGTTGTGTGCTCTCCCATACTAGCAGCATTCAGGATGCAACTGGACAACCATCTGAGAAGGATGGTGTAACTGGGAGTCCTGCATTGAGGAGGGGAGTGGACCTGATGGCCTTTTTGGACCCTTCTAATTCTCCTATGAGTCTTGATTGCATTGCTACCAATGCAGGGAGTTCTAGCAAAATGAAGATTCATGTAGGGCAGGGCTGGGGAATCTCTGCCCTGCCAGATGATGTTGATCTAGAAATTTCACCATCCCTAACCATTGGCAATGCTGGCTGGGGCTGCTGGGAGTTGCAGTTAAGCAACATCTGGATGGTCACCACCCCTGTTATAGGGAAGGATCTCCAAAAGATACCTTGGTTTTTTACTGTAAACCATTCCAGTGAATGTTTAAAAATGAAATTAAGCAATATTCTCCTATGTGCTCATCTTGCTTTCTTTTTTTTAGCAACTGACAATTCATTTGCGGAAGCACGGTGAGGTTCTTGTTGAGCTGGAGAATGGAATCAAGAATTCTCGCAAGCTGGAAAACCTCTGCAGGGACTTTGAGATGCAGAAAGTCTGTTACCTGCCCCTCAATACCTTCCTTCTTAGGCCTCTGCACCGGCTTATGCACTACAAGCAAATAATGGAAAGGCTGTGCAAACATTATCCACCAAATCATGTGGATTTCAGGGATTCCAGAGGTAAGTGAACATTTGGGAAGGCCTCAGTGCAGGTGGTGGGGTGAGTGGAGTAGATCCAGATCTCTTAGGGCTAATATGTATTTCACATGAATACGTGTGGATTAATTCTGAAAGCTTCATCTTTTTTCCCCCAAGGCAAGCAATTTCAGAAAAGGAATTTTAGGATGGGGAAAAGGGTTAAGGGATACGTCTGGCACTATTTTCCACTCTAAATTGACTTCCAAAGGTGCTTTTTCTCAAAAAAGGTCTGGTTAAGTCTGATTACATAGAAATGCAGGGAAATTTAACATGCATTTCTACCAAGAGGAAATCCCCAGGTACAATCTCTACACACACACACACACACACACACACACACACACACACACACACGAGAGAGAGGGGGGGGGGGGGGGGTGGGGACAGCCAGGCATTATTAGTTCAGGCTTTCAAGCTTCTTAATGGTATTTCTGGGCAGCCATCCGGAATAAAGTAGTGGTGGTGAGTGGAAAAAACTGAGATTTTAAATAACAAATAAAAGTCATGTGTCCAAGGTTGAAACATTTCCAAAACTCTGAATCAGATTGATTTTTTAAATTGCTTAAAATGTTTGTACTATTTTTTTGCAATGTGAAATGCAGACATGCAAGTTGAAAATCATATCTCGAGGGAAAGATTATTTTATAACCCTGAAATCTGGAAGATCTGCACTTTTACTTGCACCAAGAATTAAGTTTCCTTGAAAATTGCACTGGGTTCCAGAGTAATAAAAGGATATATTGGAAAGCTGTAGTGCCCTTGATTAGGTGAGGCTAAAGAAGAGTCTGAAACTATTTGCTTTAGTGGTCGAGGTTGGTAGGACCTCTCTTTGAGATACGGAAACCCTGTGCAGGCACTGAGCCTCAGGCACTGCTGCACTGCCCGTTCGCCCACCTAGTAGTAGCCCACAGAACTTTGGCTTTGCCCCAGAACAGCTGAAAAAGGTGAGTGTGCAAAAGGAATGACTGTCTAACATTTCGAAATGCCATACTTTAACGTTGTCTCCACACTGCAGTGCTTTTCATGAGCTTTCAGGGCTGGCATCCCAGTTGTGGAATGTTCTCTTACACTAAGCGATTTTTGGTGCAAGGGGAAGCTTTGTTTACTTCTGGACCCTTTAAAGTCTTTTAGGGTTGCTGTTTTTAGCGCCGGGGGGAGGGGGGATGTTTTAAGAACCTTGCACTGCTGTTGGCTTTTTCTTTGGGCTGCTACTTAGTAGTGTTGCATTTTAAAACTATTCAACATTTTATTATGCTGTTGCATTTCCAGTTCTTGGTTTTGTTTTGCAAACCACTCAGGGAGCTTTGGCTGTTGGTTGGTAGAGAACTGTCCTAAACAAGTGTACCGTCTCACCACAACAGAAGATTGGTCTGTTCTATGTTCAGCACTTTCAGCTGATACCTGGAAAATGTATAGATTTGTGTCCTATTTTAGAGCTGGCGAAAATGAATCCGCTGCTAGAATTGTAATGCAGACTCTTAGACATGCAGCTCAGCTGATATCTCAGAGCCAGTCGCCTGTCACTCCAGCGAAGGCAATTTGTATTTCTTTGCTCTTTTATGTTTCTGTTTCGTTTTGTTTTGTTTTTTTAAATTTTACAGCAGCTCTGGCAGAGATTTCAGAAATGGTGGCTCAGCTTCACAGCAGTATGCTAAAAATGGAAAATTTCCAGAAGCTGCATGAACTGAAAAAAGATTTGATAGGTATTGACAATCTAGTGACTCCAGGAAGGGTAAGTGATTGAATAACCCCTGGAAGATAGCACATTGAGGATAGATATGGGAAAAATTGTTTTTAAAGCGTAACAGTGCCTTTTGTTTCTATGTGTTGGGGCTGAGGGATCTTTTTTTTGAAAGCCCTTTCACTAAGAAATATAAAAATGAAATAATATGAACTTAGAATGTTGTCAAGCTATGTAAATATGGTTCTGCTAAGAAGGAGAAGAAGGTGGTTAGCAAGCAAAAATATTCAGCCCAGTGCTCAGATGACTGGGGAGATTCAAGGAGGGACTGATATCCTTGCGATTTTTGTGGCTCTCTCAGCCACTGTTTTTAGAGCACAGCTGGCACATTTAACCACAGTAGCTACTTGGGCAATCAGGAACATGGCTGGTTCCAGGAGCACCCCAGTCTGTAAGTTTGGCCTTTTGCTTTTCCAGTCTGTTCGTCATTATACTCAATTTACCACTAAATTGAGTTCAAGCTTTCACAGAACAGGCCAGACTTCTAATCTTGAATCAGCACTCCTACTTCTGTCTCCCCCATACTGTTGTCTGGATAAAGCCTCCTCTTTAGCCTAATTCAGTCTGTCTCTGAACATTGATTCAGGTTGTCCATAGTCTCCTTGAACCAGAAATAAAGGGAAGGGAGATGCTCATAGTGTATTGGTGCTATCCTGTTCCAAAGCACCTGAATGAACTTTCCAAGTAGCAACATGTGAAGCAGCACGGGGGATAAAAGAGATCTCAGAGGGCTTGAATAATAATCCCCAAGCACTACCTCTTAGGAGCACCCTACCAAAACAATAAAAACCGCCATAGAATGGTGCTCCAAGAACAGTGCCAGGAAGGTACCACAAAATCGTACCATGGTATGTAGCATCAAGGCTCATTAGGGGATCCAGGAGAACCAAAAGAGGTCTGTTCCCCTTCTGCAACCCCACATTTAAGTTGTTTGTCAAAATCTCCAAGATTCAGATCCCAAAACAAGGACTGTACCCTGATTGAAAAGGTTCCAGATCGAGCTAGAAAAGCTTGGAATTGCCAACCGCTGCTGTAGCACTTCACTCAGGAAAATATAGATTCTAGCTGATAATGGTCAATAATTGCTTTGCTTAAAGGTCTGCCTTAAAAGTCTTTGCTGGCCCTTTTTATTCTGTTCTTGGTTTTTGCAAGAAAGCAATTATACATACCATTGACTTTCTTTGGATTTCTTTGTGATGTCAGTGAATAAGCATTCACTTGGGTGCTTATTTTCCCTTTCTGCTCCTCTTTACCCTAAGGCAAAATATAAGGCCTTGCTACATACCAGAAGACTATACCTCTTCTGTACCTCTAATTATGTGGAACAGTGAAGTGGAAACAGAATCAGAATATTCTAGCCCTTTGGCAACTTCAGCGCAAGTAGATTTAGAGTTTTATGTGATAAGTTGACATTCTAAATAGGACTAGTAGTGATGTACTATAGAATTCCTATAGAATTCACAAGTCATGTTTCCATTTGTATCTTATTTTGACTTCCTTATTTCTTATTTTGTACTGACTCTGATGAAATTAAGCTCTGCTTGCCTGTACCATTCTATTATTTATTATACCTTTAATGCTGGTCAGTACACAAAGTGATTTGCCATTTTTCTTTCACTTACTATCCCACAACCTTGTGAGGATGCCTAAACGAGCCACTTTGATTTGATTTGCACACCCATTAACTGAATTTCTTCCTGGTTAAGACAGGAAGGGGACTTGCTTCTCAGACGACTTGCATTGCACAGCTTCAAGACATTCTCGGGGAACCAAACTGAGACAAAATAAGATTGTGTCTGTTTGCTTGCTGAAGTTTAATATGTAAGGACTGACCTGGGCAGAGAGTCATTTGAAGTGGAGCTCTGTGAATCCAGTGACAGGGTTTTTACTCGATCCTAGATCAAATCAATTCAGAGTGTTCCCTACACACAAAAATGATGAAACTGAAGTGGTTGTACTTCAGGAAACATGAGAATGTAAGACTCACTGGAGAAGACAGTCCAGGGAAAGTCAGAGGCTTTGAGTTGATCCTGCGAGGGAAGTGTAGAGCCTGGGTTTGCAGGAGCTGAGCGAGGCTCTCACGGACGGGACTTCTGGGAAGGTGCTCATTTGTAGGGCAGCCACACATCAGGGGTGACTTGACAGCACGTAACAACCACGGGGTACGTTAGTGTTGATTGTTACAGAGTATGGGTGCATGCGCGCGCTCATACGTTCTACATCAATGTTTTAATACTATGTTTCAGCTCTGCATTTTTATGGATTTTAATCTTTATAAACTTCCCAGGGCGCTTTGGCTGTTGGGTGCTATAGAAATGCTATAAATGAATGCACTCCGTATGATGAACCACTTGTGCATATGGTTGACGCACAGCAGAGCGGCAATTGCTTCACAAAGTAATTGGGCCAGAAGCCCAGGTTAACTTGGAGGAGGTTGCCCCCATGCAAAAGCTTTCCTTTGTGTTCCTTGACACTTCTGGGTCTATCCAGCACATGCTGGATGTGTAGGTCACTCAGTGGCACCTCCTTCTTTCCTGTTTCTGGACCAATGATGTCAGTAGGGTGAGACTCAATGAACCAGAAGCCATGTCAGAGATTGAAAGTGAGGAAACGCTGCTGTGCCATGTTTTGCAGGGGCCTGGCACCCTCATTAGAACTCCGGGCACCTGCAGTACTAAACGGAAGGTGGATTCTGTATCAGTCATACTGGCAAAATAAGTGCCACATGGATGTGGGCTCCATATCAACCCGTGGGTGGTTGAGATGGCCCAGCAGAATTGAAACAGGCAACACAGTCAGTCTCCATCACCTCCATACAGCTTTCCCTAGCTTGGTGTCCTCCATGCTGGCTAGGGCTGATGTGAGTTATAATCCAGCACTCCAGGAGGACACCAAATTTGGGGAAGGCTGCCCTGGTAGCTCTGAGACCCTGCATTATGAAATAACTTTAAAAGCAATATTTCATGCTTTGCATCCAGTCTCTGTTCTTCTGGGAGCAACACTCAGATTTACTCTTGCTGAAAGTGCACACCTTGAGAATGAGCCAGGTGTGCAGAGCTGGCATTTATTCAAAAAGGCTTCCATAAAGCCTTCTGAACGAAGGTATTGCCATTCTGTTACAGAGGTATACGAGGAATTGCCAGGGACTTGGTTCCCTGCTGGCTTAGTTTGTTGAATGATGGCAATAACTCTATTCCTAGTTTCTCTTCATTGCTCATGATCATCTCTCTTACAGTTTAATTTCATGCTGTCCTCTAGGAATTTTTTCCCCTCTTGCTCGGTGCCTGGAGTAATTACTGCCAGTTCTACTTACTGCTTTGGCGCTCTGCAGCATTCTGCTGCACTTCCCTAAAGCTATCCTAATACCACTTCCATGACTCCATGCGTTTATGAAACCCCAATTTTCTCTCGGTCTACTGCCACCCACTGGCTGTCATTGATTTATACATTGCACTTGGCCCTGCCCTCAGGGCAGTTCCCAGGCAGCTTCCACAGCAGAAAAATTGACTTCATGCGCATCAGACCATGATAACCTTGATATGTTCTCTAAGGCAGAAAGCCTGCTCTACATTCTTATTCCTGCACATACATTTATATGTGACCCTGTATTCCCCATGCCAGGTTCTAAGCCAGTCCAATCTCTCCAGTCAGCTTCGATTGCAACCAGCAAAGGGCTATGTTAAGGTAGTGGTTTTCAGACAGTGTACCAAGAAACCACTGGAGTTGTTTATCAGGGATTCCTCAGTGCATTGGCCACAGTAATGAACAAAGGTTGCCCACCACTGCTGATCTTGCGCTGCACAATGCCAGTAATGAAGCCCTGTGGATCTAGCTGCACAGTTCGATCTGCAGTGCACTCAGAAGCTCTGGAGCTTGGTTCAGAAACCATGCAAAAAGTGTTCCCTGAGGGCACATGGTCTGAAACTTCTGCCTTAATGGCTTGTGATGACAGAAGCATAATTTCCCACAGAGGCCAGAACTGTATTTGTAAAAAGAAAGAAGCAATTGTTTCAAAGTGTTTAGCTACCAACTTTGTAATAAAGGCCAGAATCCAAAGACCTTGTTCTAGGAGTGCAAGATGTGGAGACTCGTGTACTTGTTCTGAACAAGCTGTTTGCTGCATAGTGAACTGCTCTGGAACCAAGAGCAATTCCATAGGCCCTTAATAATACTGCGCAAAGGCCACCAACAAATAGGAGCCTCCCACAGTGAGACAACAAACATCTCCCTCCATTGTCCTGCTTTCCCTAGACCAGTGATGGTGAACCTTTTAGAGACCCAGTGCCCAAACTACAACCCAAAACCCACTTAACTTATTGCAAAGTGCCAACACTGCAATAACACCTGAGAACTGTGGTTTTAGTTTAGAAAAAACAACTCGCAGCCAGTCCAAGCAAATATTTATATATCTCTCTAGCAACACACTGAATGCCGAGATGAGTCGCGGCTGCTGAGTTGTAGCTCGTGATGTCATCACCTGGCACCGCTACTCCTTTCCGAGCATGCGCATGGCCCCTATGTGCACTGTTATCTGATGCTCTGCTGCTGGGCGATGCTGGGGCAACTTGGCTGGCATGCCGACACAGAGGGCTCTGCGCCCGCTGTGGCATGTGTGCCATAGGTTCACCACCACTGCCCTAACCCTAACCTGGTGCACACCCCTAACCCTAATATAGGGGTAAAATACCATTGAAAAGAGGGCAATTTTGAAAAAGACTTCCTTGAGGAGCTTTTTCTGCCCTGCTCATCATTTCTGCCCATTCTAAACACATTCCAACCATCAAAATCATACCAGGACACCTCATTTTTCTAACCCTTAACCCAGTAATGGCAAACCTTTTAGAGACCGAGTGCCCAAACTACAACCCAAAACCCACTTATTTGTCACAAAGTGCCAACACTGCAATAAAACCTGAAAACTGAGATTTTAGTTTAGAAATAACAACTCACAGCCTGTCCAAGCAGTGCACTGACCGGCCATGCGAAAGCTTGAACGAGTCGTGGCTAATGAGTCATGGCTTGTGACATCATCATCTGCCGCCACTACTCCTTTCCGAGCATGCGCATGGCCCGTATGTCTGCTGTTACCTGATGCTCGGCTGCTGGGGCGATGCTGGGGCAACTCGGCTCGTGTGCCAACAGAGAGGGCTCTGCGTGCCCACTGTGGCACACATGCCATAGGTTCGCCACCAGTGCCCTAGACCATGCATTTCGAAAACAGGTGAAACAAAAAGCAAACTTTGCCGCAGGACAGTTTATCAAACTGTTAATTGCTCTTTATGAGTTTGAACCTTTATAAAGGAACCCTTCTAGCGAGAGGGTATGTATACTTACTGCTATTAAGTAGATACTTATTTTTTCTATATTACTTCTTGGAATGAAGTAACATGTTATCAATTGTCCTTAAAATATTAAGACCATTCCAATGCCAGTTTAATAGCTGCAGAGTTGGAGAAATCAATGCTCTGCATAGGACAATTTCCTGTGTCCAGTGTTCCTCTAAGGAGCTAGGAACAGGGCTGCTTCTCTCCGCAGTATTGCCCCTCTGAGAACGTGAGGCAACAATGTTATGGGCAGAACCTTTGTCATAGCTTCCTGCTGTTGGATCCTGGAGTTCCAGCTTTGCTGGAGTGACAGGGAGTAGGTAGAGAAGAAGTAGTAACATCAAAAACAGCTTGTGGAGGAAAGAAAATGAAAGGAGCTCCCCAAAAAGGTACACCTGGCACCTCATTTGTAGTCTTTTTGGTGCCAGGTGAAGACCTTTTCATTCTCCCACCATTTTTAACAGTTTATTTTCAATTGCATTTTATTCTGTATCACTGCTATGCTTCTGTGCTGATTCAGTTGCAATTGCTTTTATGGTTTTAAGAGTGTGTGTGTGTGAACTTTTGTTAACCATGCAGAGAATCTCAGCTATTGGGTGGCATAAAAATAAAATAGAGTAGCAAACACATAAATGCAAAAATAGCTGACTCGCTATTAATTTTGTAGGGCTGTCAAGGCCTAGCACAATTAAGCCAGCAATGTCACATTAATTACTTCCAGACTTCCAGACATATTTTTCAATAAAGTACTGATGTTTTATGTTTTGTTTCTATTTGTACGCAGGAATTTATTAGGCTGGGTAGCCTTAGTAAGTTGTCCGGAAAAGGGTTACAGCAGCGGATGTTCTTTCTGGTAAGTGGTAGGAATGGCTTATATTATGTGTAATTTAGTCCAGCTGTACTATAAATGCCAAATAATGAGAGGAAAGGAACTCACAGGAAGAACCTATGAAATAATTGTGTAATAACCCAAGAAAGGGGGTGGAATAAGATACAGGCCTGGTCAAATTAAACATTAATAAATTGTACCTAGTATTGGATTAAATTTGAACTAGATTTATTTGTTTGTATAAAAGTCATCTGTTAGCATAATGTATAATTTATATTTCCAACATCACATTGTGTACTTTTATGTACTTGTATACAATTGTCTGTAGAATGTAATCAATATGCAGCCAAATGTATGTGAATATGAGACATCTTAGCAAAATGCATGACTTTCAGAAAATGGCTGTGAATATAGTATATTCATTCAGCTTAAATCCAGTATTTTTGATCTACTTGGACAATACGCATTCCTTTCATGGCGTTTGACAATAGAGGCTTTGGAAGATGCTGTGAGCACAAGTGATGAAGATTTTTAATTCATTTTAGCAATTATGTCTGCAAAAGTTATTACAGACATGTTTACTAAGTTGTCTGTGGTTGGCAGTGTGGGTCAAAAGGGAGGAAAAAGATTTGCTTGCTTGTTTAGTTACTGACGTTTTCCTTCCTGATTACTGCCTGCAGGATATTATCATTCATAAGTGGTTATTTACAAAGCCAGCTTATTAATAACATTTCCAAGATTATTTTTGTGTGCACTTAAGGTGATGATGCATAAGAGATGCACAGACCAAAACAAAAAACAAGCTAGTTGAGTATGTACACACAAAGTTTAAAAATACTTTTCAAAATCAGCTCTTCGCTAGAGTTCTTGAAATCAGATTCATGATCTGCCACGTTGAATTAATTCTTGTTTTCTACAGTTTAATGATGTTTTGCTGTATACAAGTAGAGGCCTAACAACATCAAACCAGTTTAAAGTCCATGGGCAACTTCCCCTGTATGGCATGATGGTAAGCATATGCTCAGCTGAGCTTGTTGACTGTTGTCTTGCTGATGGAACTCTCAAATTGTAGGCTGTAGTGAATCACTGTTGTTTCTGAACCATGAGCTGCCTTGGGTATTTTTAAAAGGCGGGTTAGAAATTAGAATAGCAAAGTCTAGCATAATGCTTGGAAAATCAGTGTATTGGAGTAAAATCATAGCCATTTTGATTTGTAGAAACCTGGATTAGTGGAGAGTGGACAGTTGCTCTCCTGACTGAGAACCATGTGAAATTAATTGATGAGCAAAGCTTGCAGGTCTTCCCCAACCCAATGTGCTCCAGCTGTTTTGGATGACATTCTCAGCATTCTTGATCCTTGGCTCTGTTGGAAGGGGCTGATGGGAGTAGAAGTCCAAAACTTCTAGAAGGCACAAATTAGAGAAGACTGGCTTAGAACCTTAAGGAGAGGTGGCCAACTTGTGTCCCTCCACAACTTGTGTGTTTGTGTAGTACTCCCATCATCATCTTTGGCTATGCTTCTTAGATCTGATTGAAGTTGCACATGTGCCCATCCCAGACTAGAGAAGTGCTCAGCAATACTTTATTTTTTAATGAGAAGCTTGCCTTTCATTTGACATTTCCCAATAAACAGGTGGCGCAGTGGTTTAAACTGCTGTGCTGCTGGGCTAGTTGATCGAAAGGTTGCCGATTCGAATCTGCACAACGGAGTGAGTTCCCATTGCTGCATCCCAGCTCCTGCCAACCTTGAAAGCATGCAAATACAAGTAGATAAAATGGTACCACCTCGGTGGGAAGGTAGCAGCGTTCCGTGCACTTCGGTGTTTAGTCATGCCAGCCACATGACCATGGAGACTGTCTGCGGGCAAATGCTGGCTCCCTTGGCTAGGAAATGGAGATGAGCACCACCCCTAGAGTCAGGCATGACTGGTCATAACATCAAGAGGAAACCTGTACCTTTACCTTTAATAAACAATTCAACTACCAATATTTCAGCCTTGGAAATGACCTGTGGTTCTGCCAGGGTTATGCCAATATGATTTTGTTATGCGCAAACCTACATTCATTATTGTTTTCATTTGTTTTTAATTGTGATTTTCAGTCCTTGTGCACTTATCTTGAGAGCTCAGTATATTATTTGTACAGCAACAGCTGTGATTGTTATGCAATTTGTCCCATTTGGCAACGTAGCAGTAAGCCTAAATTTCTAAATTCTGTTGTTATGAGGAGTGCCTAGTAACCACAGAACAAACGGCTCCAAATAGTGATTGTTCTGATCCTATGATATTTTTGCCAAGAGTTCCTTGGTTTTGCAATGGAGCTTGAAGTCTAATTTTTCCAGAAATGTCACTATTTGCTGCATTCCCTGCCTTGTATTCCTCCAAAGACTATTGTCCAATTGGTGTCCACTGACTTATTTCCCTTTAATGTTTATATCCTCAGATAGAAGAAAGTGAAGAGGAATGGGGGGTTCCTCACTGTTTTACACTGAGAGGTCGGCATCAGTCCATCATTGCTGCTGCCAGGTAAGCAACCTGTACCCTGCACACTGTCTCACGGTTTCCACACACCCCATAGAGAAGCTGCCCAGAATCCAGACTATTCTAGGTTGGGGTGGTCCAGCACACGGCTTGCGGGCCTCATGCAACCGGGAGGCCTTGTCTGGCAGCTCTCTTGCCACTTGAATTCCCTCTCCGCCCCTGCCAGCCCGGATCCCGGCAGTGGCATGGGCATGATTGTGGCCCGCTCGCTTCCAGAGACGCAGGAACAGAGTGCGGGGGCTGGCAGCCTTGCGAGAGCTCACCCTCCATGCCCCGTGCCTCTGCGACCGACAAGTGCAACGAAGAGGGGCAGGATTTGGGCTTCAGGGATGCACATCCTTGGAGCCCAAACCGTTGAGGGAGGCTTTTTGGCTGACGAGATGAATCTGGCCCCCACACACTCGCCCACCCACCTGCACACTTCAGTGTGGGCCTGTCATTCAATAAGTTCTAAAATCATCTTAAAATTAATTAGCAGTTTTTCCCCTCATTTAATGGGACTGCAGGTGGTGCAGTGGTTTAAACCACTGTGCTGCTGGGCTGGTTGATCGAAAGGTCGCCGGTTCAAATCTACGCAACGGTTAATTAAATATATTAATTATGTATATTAAAATAAATATATTGCAGGCACTTCAGTTACAATATGGAAATGCAATTCATTGTGTGGCCCCAGGTTCCAAGTGCTCATGCAGCATTTGAGGTATGAAAAGCTGGACTGCTCTGAGCTACGAGTAGGTAATCCAGGTTCTTCTGGATGAACCTTCAAATCACTTTTTCAGTGTATGAGAAGCCAGGGTTATCAAGGAAGGTGACTGTGGTGTTCCATGCAACTTCTCTTGACCTGGTTAAATACAGCGTGGCACAAAAAATACTCACTTTCGTTATGACCAGCACAATAATGTCATTACTACTTGCAGTAAACTAAACAGTATCCCCCTTTCTTTTCCTAGCAACCGGGCTGAAATGGACAAGTGGACTGAGGACATACAGATAGCAATAGACTTGGCAGAAAATTGTAATGGTCCAGCTCTTGAGTTCCTAGGGAGTAGCCCACCTGATACTAGTAAGTACAGTATACTAGTAAGTGCAGAATACTGACAGAAATGTTTAAGTGTAGTAAAGTCTTAACCACTTAACAATATAGTCATTTATTTATATTTCAACTGTGCTATATAAACGGATTCTTGACATGTTTGTTTTGTATTTGATTTCAGTTCAGTTGACTATTGATTTCAATTCTCATTTGACTATAATGCCAATTTATGGGTTGATTAACACACAAATTGGCAGGGCCACAAGCAAAGGAGCAACCATGCTAATACACATACACCCATCACTTCTACTTTCAGTCAGCTTTAATCAACTGCTGAGAAACATCAACCAGTTGCAAAGTCAAACAACCAGAGTTTAACCCAACAACAAACCATTGATGTTCCATCAAACAACACAGAAATGGGGAATTCCTGGGTTGTTGATTAAAGCTAATTCAAAATGGAGGTGGCAACCATGAGGGAGTCAGCATGCTCAGCAGCTGACAAACCATGGGCCACAGGGTGCACAGCAAGTGTTTTACAATGCATTTAATCAGTATTTATTCCGCTATATCAATTTTAGCGATGTTGTATGAGAGGAAAGTGAGAAGCTCCGGTTAGAAAGAGACTCAGTTCACATAACATGACCAGCAAGTATATGGGTTGAGTGCTGGTTGTTATTGAACTGTGGGTTGTTGTGTGAACCCAACTATTTTGACAAACTAAGGTGTCTTTTCCCCACAAAAGTCATGGTTTGTTGCTGGGTTGTGACCTATGTGTTGTCTCTGGTTAACAAAAACCGTGGCTTTTTATTGTGTCTGGGTTCACACAGACAACAAGCCATGGTTAGAGGACAGCCCCCACTCAGCCTATACTTTGGTTTGTCATGTGCGACCCAGACCAAAGATACCTTGAATGCTCTGAAACAAAACTTGGCAAAGGACTACAGTGTGCCAGAACATGCACTTCTAGAGAATAGCACACCTGGCCCTAGTTAAGTACAAACAGGTCAATGCAGGATCTTGTTCTGTCAAAATGACAGCGTTGGTCATGGTCTGTACAGGTTCTGGTTGGGCTTGTTTAAAAGAAGAAAAAGCTAAGACGCAAACACAGGAAACCAAGAAATGGATGCTGGGTTGTTTTATCTACAAAGGCAACACCACAACACATGTGCTTAAGCCCATGGAAGGCAATGCACAGAAATGTACAATTCTTCGTTGGATTGTGACGTAATTTGCCCCTTGTTATGGAGTATGCAACATTTTCCCAGAAAATCCTGCTCCTTTCTTTCTGTCCACCCTCAACACACAGACACAAAAGTACCACATCAGTTTGGAAAACTAATCAGACATGGTCTTTGTGTAATAACTTCACAGTCTATATTTTATTCAAGGGGGGAAAAAGATATGGTTTTTCTCTGCTTTTCATAGAGTCCCCCGAGGAATCTACTGTAGACCAGGAATCAGAAGACGATCTCAATGCATCCCGCACCTCGCTCGAACGTCCAGCTCCTCACCGTGGCAACACCACGGTGCACGTCTGCTGGCACAGAAATACCAGCGTTTCCATGGTGGACTTTAGTCTTGCTGTGGAGGTATCTGCCTCAAAACAACCTAGCCTGCAGCTGCAGGAAAAGTGTTTCTTGGGGGCAATTTCCTTTCAGCCTCCTCCATGTTGGGGAGTGAGAGATGGCACTAAGCCAACTCAGAACAACAGATTAAGCATCATGACATTTTAAGAAATCTTTATGCAGAAATTAGCAAATTATACCACATTAATAATAATGTGTCTTTACACATCTAAATTACTAGATTTTGTGATAAAGAGTTTCCTATGGGCAGTTTTTTCCTATTAGCTATCTTTTACTTTAGTATACTTGGAAAGGATGTTGACCCTGACTTTGGTTGCTGCAAAAAAAAAACATAGGTTTTTGGGGGGGTTTTAGACTGCTTCCCCCCACACCCCAAACGTTGAATGTTCTCTTCTCAGTCTCATCTGCCTTCCTCACTTGTGTTTTCTCTGTCACAGGATATCACTGTATCTATTTTCAGTGATGCATTTGATTACAGCTAAACCAATTTTATAGAAAACCATAGGATGTTGAATAGATATGCTTCATTTCTGGTCACTGAAATGTGGAATATGTGCATCTATTGCATTTTAACAACAGCAGGTTTCTGCTTTCATGTGGAACTTCAACAATTAATTCTCCACTTTGCAAGGCTGTTTGAAAAGCTGAGAATTACTGGCCCATTATTAGGTCTTCTTCATAAAATAAAAATATATCAGGCTTGTAAAAAAGTGTGAAGAGTTTTTGTAAGCAAGTATATCTTCACTAGATCCAGTTTTAAAGAAAAGGATATCTCCAACTTCAAGTAAAGTATAAATTGGTTTAGCTTCTTCAAGGTACCTGCAGACACCCATTTCCCCATAATATGCTTCTAGGTTGCTTTAGTGACATTGTATAATGTGGTTACTGGGTACACTGTGTAGACATTTGCATTAGCTACAGTCCACTTTTATTGGTTCAAAAGAGCAGACAGCCAAATCTTTTAGGTACAGAATAACAGACTGCAATTCTCTACATACCTTTGTAGTAAACCCTGCTAGTTTGTTTGTTTGTTTGTTTGTTTGTTTGTTTGTTTGTTTCGGAGCAAGCTTTACCTGTGTACTAACACCATTGTATCTTTCAAGTTTAAATAATTGGAATGAACTATTAAGCAACCTGGAGGCAAATTCCACCCTTCACCCATCTGTCTTTAGTTCCATAGCTGTCCCCATGGCAGGCAAGATACAATCATATTTTCCTAATTCTGCGAGTGATGTCACATCAGCATTACAGTTTATACCTTCTCTGTGTGTCTCTCCTTCCTTTCTTTCTCCCTCTCCCTCTCCCTGCCTCTCTCTGGTGGCAGAAGATCCTCTCACTATCAGTGACTGTCCTTCTCTACCTGCTGGACTGATCAGTGATCAGCGATCTGTTTCCATTTCATGTGTCTGCTGGTACCGAATGCAAAGCCTGTCCTTTTATGATACCCTCCAGAGCGAAGAGGTAACCACAAGAGAAATTAGAAATTTCAAAGGAATAGAAACTTGTGTGTCATTTTAACATGAAGCAGACACACCCTGTCCAATTTTCAAAAGAAGCTTATTAGTCCCCTGCTGATAGTCTCTGATGAAGGAACGTGCAGCATATATCCATTTAGCCTCTTCCACTGGAGACAGCTTACTGTGTTGTTAAACCCCAAACAAAATCAAATGTGTTAAGAGCTGAAGGATTAATATTTTATCCTAGGTGAGCAGAGATGGTGAAGGATTTTCAAGTTAAAATGAGTGTTTATTACTCATTTATAGTAATATATAAAATAAACCATACCTTTCACTATCCATCAAGACACTAGCCTTCCAAAACTGACATATGCCAACTTTTTATCCAAGCTGCCTCAAATTCGCTGTCCTTATCTTCTTTCCTTCGCAGAAATGGACCGTGTGCTTATATGTGAGGGATAACCTACATCATTTGTTGGATTAATAGCTTTATATTCAGCCAGAAGCAGCTCCAAGTACCACTTAAAAGTAAAATACCAAAATTCAAGAACTTGGATCCACAAGGTGAAGCGTAAAGCTCAAAGAAGGTCACCAAATTTGGAGGGTTCTGCCCACACACACAACAGTTCACACCATTCTGCAGGCTCTCTTGACTCTGTAAAGCATTATCAGAGGGTAAAGGGGGTCCTGTGGGAAGACAGATTCAGGGAAGTCCATTTCTGTCAGTTGATCCACCTCAACTCTGGACGTAGCCCCAACAATTGGTGGTGTATGAATATGCAGCCCTGATTAACCTAATAGAGGTTCCTGGTGTTTCCCTCAAGAATTGGAGGGGGAGAGGAGCTGCAGGTAGATGTGGGAACCACCTGATGGCAAAAAACACCCCACCCACCCAGCAGACCTTCCACTGACCTCCACTGCATGTGCTCCAGGCCTATAGCACAGAAAAGACAAATTCGTAAGAGTTATTTCTGTTCATACACTACATTTTGTGTTTTCAGCTAAGTTAAAAGAGGCTCTTTCATTGTTTCTCAGCAGTTTTGAACAGCTACTACCATGTATAGGATTTAAATCACTTGCTATTGGACTGAAATGCCAGTCAGTTCCTAGTTGGCAAGGTCAGAGGCAAGAGATAATGGGAGGTGCTGTTCAGCAACATCCACCAGGCCTCAGTTCCCTGATCCCTTATTTAAAGCTTAATGTGGAAACTGTCCCCTTGGTGAGGTTGTGAGGTTAGCTTAATATAAAAGCTGACGCCTTCTGTTCCCAAAATACATTCATTCATGCATCTGAAAAGGTAAGAGCAGTTTTTTTCCTTGAAAGATCAACTTGCAAGTAAGCTTCATTTAAAGATAGATGAGGATCTGGAAGTGAAATATTAAACCTATCAAAAGACAGGAAAATCATCCAGTTTGAACAGAAAAGTATTGTTCTACATGAAGCTTGCCTGATTTCCATCAGACAGTTTTACTGTCTGTCTGTGATTTAATTAGTTTATTGCCCTGTTCCTTTCACTTTCAGAACCAACTCTCAGGAAACCTCTTGAGAAAGTTCAAAAACAGCAATGGATGGCAGAAGCTCTGGGTGGTATTCACTAACTTCTGCATGTTTTTCTACAAATCCCACCAGGTAACTGATTTTTTGAGGTTGGAGGAGAATCTTTGTTTAGTTTTTCGCACATTACAAATGTCTCTGTACTTGTATGTGGGAAGTTTCACAAAGAATCAGCAATAATCATTATATCATCTATACTTATAGCCATTTTTGCATGATAATATATAATTATAAATGTTAAGTTGGTAAGTAGCCAAATACAACTAATAATTTCACATGAAAAATTGCTTTAACACAGACAAAAGTAAGCTATAATTCATCCCACATCACATTTATAAATCCAATTGCTCCTTGATTTACCTTAAGGATGGCATCCCCAGGGAGTATTGAAGTCCATGAAAGCAGCCTCCGTGGGTGCAGCTTCTGGGCTGGAAGCAGAAAGGCAGGAAATACACTGCCATGTTTCCAGTCTGGAAGCTGTTCCTGTATCAGCGGAATCTTTGGTTGATATTCTTCAGTTCTTGGTGGAAATATAGACCCAAAGGCACTGGTGGCAAAGCAAAATTTTGTCTTTCTGCAAAACAGAAATCATCCTGGTGTGTAGAGGTCAGCTCTGTGTATGTTAACTGCTTAAGAAAAACTAGCTTGTTATTAAGAACTGCCTGGTACTTTAACCACTTGGTGGGTAAACCTGAGCCAGAATTCTATTGCTTGTTTCAGAGGCCCTTGATGGGTGTTTGGGGGGCATTAAATGCTGCAGTATTTCAGAACTACTAGACTTTTAAAGTGGAATGTGTGTGCTCAGTATTCCCTAGTCTAGCTCGGCTTTGCAGAGTTGTAGGCTGGAAGTCTTCGTTTTAAAAAGCAAGCCTTTCCCCCAGAGCTATTTTTGAGAGTGTAGTTGGTTGAGGGGATAGGGAAGGTAGGTTTGCAGGAACAAAGGTTCAGTTCATGTTTCACCTCCAAGTTAAAATTGGAGCAGACCGGCCGTGTGTGGACGATTGAAGGCATTACCCTGCTTAGAGCAGACAGTTTGGGGTTAATCTTTTGGGTGGCCACTGCAGGGGTGAATAGCATTGCATTCCTCATTAGTTCCTCACTTGACCCATCCAGCAAGAGCCAGTAGAACAGGCAGGTGGCGGGGAACAGGGGATGCAGTCTGAGATGGAGGTGGGTTCTGATTTATGCCCTGTGCTGAGAATGGCTGGCTAATTGGGTGGTTTATAAAAGTGGCAAATAAGCAAACAGATAATGGGAGCCTTGAGAGGCGTCCCCACAATGCTGATCGGGAAGGGTAAGAGAGGTCCAGGCTTCCATGTGGTTAAACCCAGGTGCCCTGTTTCCTTAGCTCCATGTGGGAGCTGACTAGGAATATGAAAAAGTCTACTTTCAAGCTCCTGAGAGTCCAGTGAAAAAATGTAAATGCAACTGTGGGGCTACAGTGCCACTCCATTTTCTGGGTGTGGAACCATTGCCTTTTGGGAACTGCCATTTTGGCAAGCAAAAGTAATACCAAAAGGGCTCTTTTCTGGTTTTAAATCTCACATGCAGCTTACCAGTTTGTGAAGCATAGAATACTGTACTCACAGTCCCTTTCATCTTCTTTTTTAGGACAATCACCCTTTAGCTAGCCTGCCGTTACTGGGTTATTCTCTCACCATTCCTTCTGAATCTGAGAACATTCATAAAGACTATGTCTTTAAGCTACACTTCAAATCTCACGTGTACTATTTCAGGGCTGAGAGTGAATATACATTTGAAAGGTAAGTCCATCTTCTGTAAGAAGTTAATGATATAGGGTGGGGGGGATGCCGAAATGCAGCTCTCTACTTTAGCCCCAATGGGTAGGGTCCAGGAGAGACTCCATTCCAGTTTTGTTGAATCTTCTAACCAGTCTGGAGACAGGGGCCCATTCGGACATACTGGTGAACTGTTTGATTACTCTTAACTATATTTCTTAAGAGTGAGATGTGTGAATTGACTAAACTGAAAAGCATTGCATTTCAGATTATGTAATAGCTCTGTGTATTTTCTTTGTGATTACTTATGCTTTCCCCAGAACCATTAAGTGGGCAGTGGGGTGCATGATTTAAATGAAAGACATCTGTTATCAAGTGATAAATATGCATACATGGATCAGGTGACAGACAAATGTAGATATGCTGGGGGTTATGTATTCTGCTTACCTGCATGGCTTGAGTCGCATGATCTCTAGACAACATTTGTATATATTGGCTAAAGCACACCAATGAAATGATACACAATGCTCAACACTTAAAACAGAAAAGCACAATTCTTCATAGTGTTTCAAACCTGACAGCATAAAGTAGAATCTTTCTGCAGCAAAATAAATTAAAAATAGTCATTTGCATGCCCATTGCAGTCGGACAGGGTAGGCAACCATTGTGTCCTATCGACCTCATGTAACAAGGGTAAACGATCAGGGCCCCGTGCATAAGGTGAGCATGGTCAAAGGTGGTCAAGCCTAGCATCCCCGTGACCGCCATTTAAATGCAACTGCATGACCATGCACACACTGCGCTCGCCTGTCACATGCACACCTCACACACGAGTACGAGCTTTCTCCTCGCGCACATCCATGCACTGGCTGTGTTGACACGCAGCACCAGGTGCCCTGGGGCACGGCACCTTAGCTGACTCAGATGCCTTGCGGTTTCCCTGTGTGTATGGCTTCCATGCACCCTCCTTCCTCCTAATGGCAGCTAGAGTCCCATCAGACCCCACGGCTGAAAATCCATCCCAGGTGCAGTGCTTCTGCCTGTCTCTCTCTCATGGCCCATTCACTCCCCTGGGCACGGCATCAGCCGACTGCTTCTGGCTTAGTGTTCTTGGATGCTCAGAAGCAGCAACCACTTACTCACTAGAGTAGCGGTGGAGCACCACTCTCCGGTGCCAACAGGCAAGTTTGTGCAGCCCGACTGCCCTGCCTTGCTGCAGAAGTGTCCACATCCCCGTGTGTGGGGCTCCACATGCTGGAAGGGGCTGCTCCCTGCTGCAGTCAGCACACAGAGGGCCTCAGGACAGGCACCTGTGCCAGGAACTGGGGCAGCATGTCCTTCTGGGAAGCGCTTCTCAAGGGAGGAGGTTTCTTGGGTGGCCAGTGGGACTGTGTTCTGCAGCTGTGAGTGGGAGGCCTTGTTGATGGTCCCGAGGAAAGCTGGGGGACAAGAGAAGAGCAGAGGATGGGAGTCAGAGGGGAAGACATGGACTTTTCAGTGTGAGCACCCTGTTGGCAATGGCTGCATGCAGCTGGTATGCTCCACTTGTGTAGGGAAGCTTTCACAAGAGGAGAGCACTGGCTGTAACAATAAGCCAGGGCACAGCAGTTTCACAGTTCTGCGGTGACCAGATGGGAACGCCAAGCATGGCCGTCTCCAAGGTCACGGCGGCTGGAGACTCCAAAGCTGTAGGTGGAGAAGAAAGGGAGGCTGGAGTGGCCCATTCTCAGATGGCAGAGAATGCAAGCTGAAGCATCTGCTTCACCCACAGCCACTCTTGCTGTGAAACACACTTGTGGGAACATGGAAGCTGGGTTCAGACATGCAGCAAGCCATGTGATTCCATGGAGACAACCCTTACTACACTTCTCCACTCTTGCTGGGTTCACACAGGAAGGCAAGCCACGCCATGGTGATTTGCACCATGCCTTTTGTTATGTGTGAGCTCACTTGTGTTCACTCACTCAGAGTCTCTCTCTCTCACACACACACACACACACACGCATGTACATACATCAGCTAAGAAGTTACACACAGAGACTCCTCCCTACATCTCAGCGTGTGAAGACATGATAGTTTGGATGTCTGTAAGCTCAGACCTGACCAGTCCTTCCTGTTGCATGGCCAAGTGGATTAGGGAACAGCTTTTCCGCAGGACCAGTTAGCTGGCTGGGGTTGAGGGATGGGTACAGTTCAAATAAGAAGACTCACTCCCCATCCCAGTGGGACAGCCTGCAGTTCATCAAGCAGCTGTTCGGCAGGCTGACCGAGTGCAATTTGGATGGAGAGAAAGGTGAGGTGCGAGGGGGAAACCATCCTAGGGTTGCCCTCCAAAGGATTGCACTCAGGTCAGCCCACCAAGCGAGATCTGGGTAGCTGTGAACAGCTAAGGGGAACTCAGAGACTGCTGCAGGCCGCAGGGAGCACCCCTTGCCCACCTGCGCTCCATAAGCATTAATTTACCTTTGCCTATTTTGTAGGTGGATGGAGGTGATCCGAAGTGCTACCAGCCCTGCTTCACGAATCATCTTGAGTCATGAAGAGTCACACGTTTATTGATGACTGAATTCCAAATTTTCATTCCAGCAGTTGCTGCTTTTCTAGAGGACATTTGAATTTATTTTCTCCTTTTCAAGTTTAGTAAACAAAAACAAAAAATTGTTTCTAAAAATTGTTTTGGAGCAGCTTTTTGTAATATTGCCTCAGCAGAATTGTTTACTATTATCAGCCAAGTGACAGTTTCAGGTCTTGTATTTGTCTTTTGGTGTGGTTTTTTAGCTTGTGCCAGTATTAAAATATTGTCCTTGGAGTGCCAAATGCCAAAAGACATTTTCTTGCCTCAAAGTTTTGCACCAGGAATAGAGTACAGTTTTTCTAGTAAGTTCTTATTTGGTATTCCCCTGGAAAGCAAAATGCCTTTTCTTTTGAGATAAACTCTCAAAATAATTCATGAGTAGACTGCTGATTTTGTAAAAGCTGTATTTCTTATGTTCCTTTATTAACACCCTTCAGCATAAACATGCATAAGAAGCAGTCTGAAATCAGGGCGCTTTTCTTTCAGACCTTATCCTTGGTGTTTCTACACATTTTACTTTTAAACATTAAAACTACCGACCAAATGTGTAGTTTGCTCATTTCATCATTCTGTTGAAATGTGAACATATTTACTTCAAATATAATCTGAAGGTTTTCTCTACTCTTCCTAGGTGAAAGTTATGCTCAGAAACATACAACTTGTAATGGTTAACAGTTTACAAAATTATCCCGTGCAATGTTTAGAATACTGATGTTTTTTGAAGGCTGAGAAGGGAAATTCAAAAGCTAACAAAATATCAACAGCTGTGTACAAAATGATTAGCAAAGTTAATTTGTGTTCCAGGAAATTAGTGCCATAATAAGAAGCTGTGCAAACATAATGCACCTTTGTTTTGAGGAATTTTTTTTCTTCAATATTTTGTCACAGTATCCAGAATGTTTCTGCACCTTTCCTACCAGTGGTACTACAAAGCAATCCATGTGTGTGCGTGTAAATTTGGAAGCAATTAGACACATCCTTAAGACATTCAAGTTTGTTGTGTTTCAGTCAAGTTTAGCCCAGTCAGAAGCCTGAACACCATTTAAGAGAATTTGACTGAGAGTAGTTTTATTCCAGTAGCTGAAATAAATTTCTTGTGAACTTATTGTATACAGTATGACATCAACATTTACCACACTCATTTTGGAAAAAAAAATCATACGAAACCATAGCCATGGACCATCATGCGGAGAAAATATCAGCACAATCCTAGCCCCACCTACCTGGGAATAAGCCCCTTTAAACCTAGTGAGGCTTACCTATCAGTGGACATATATAGGATTACACTGTACAAATTTTGAATAAGCACCATCTTGCTTTAGTAGTTGTCAGTCATAGAGAATTCCCTCTTTCTACAATGTGTACAAATGTTTTAAATTTTGCTTATTAAACAGGAAATAAAATACCTCAACATCTTTAAAATACCATGTACTTTTAAGATTATAAAACTTGGTAATGTCTCTCTCTTCATTTGTTTAAAAAAGGTATTTCTTAAAAATGAGGTTTTTTTCTTCTTCAGGGTTTTAGTATGTCAGTACATGAATTACAAATGTTATCTCAAAAAGTTTGATTTTTGGGGGGATTTATGACTGAGAATTGTGCTTGCAGCTGCAGTCCCATGCATGCTGCATGCTTAACCTAAGGTCTGCTTCTGTATTAATGTGTTCGGAGATCCCCAAGTTAAACCAGCAGGTGCAGGAGCAGCAGCCACCGCTTGCAGGGTCTGTTTGAACCTTTTTCTTCTTCCTCCCACTTTCTGTGAAAGTTGTGTGGGCACAGCATTTTCCTTCCTTGGGCCTACATTTCCCAGCAAGCACTTCTGTCTCTGCAGCCTAGGCACACTGGATGAAAAATATTCACCACCACCAGCACCCTGTTGTTCCTCCCCATAAGCTCCTAAGGGCATGATGTGATAATGGACCTTTAATCAGGATGAGAGTTCTGGGGCCAGGAAACATAGCTGTGCAAAGCATAACCATGAATTTTTACTTCTCGGCTTGTATGGGGAAGGGCAAAACCAACAGGCAAATCTTCAAATGAGAGGGAAAAGAGAAATAGGCAGGAAAAAAGGAAGAAGGGGAACATAACAAGGGAGAAAGAAAAAGGTTGAATCTAGGAATGTACAGGAGCCAACTCATGACATTCATGGCTTTGCTAGCTGGATTGGCTTTGCATTGTGTCTATTAAGTGCTGCTTCTCCACCATCAAATAACCAAGAGAGCAGGTGCACCAAAAGAATCAGGATGCTTCTGCCCCATTGAGGAATCAGCAATTAAACTTGGTGGGGATACAGCTTGGCTAATCCTCTGCACCCCTAGTAATTCATGCCCTTTCCCCTCGTACACACACACACACACACACACACACACACACACACACACACACACACACACTCTCTCTCTCTCTCTCTCTCTCTCTCTCTCTCTCTCTCTCTCTCTCTCTCTCTCCCTCTCTCCCTCTCTCCCTCTCTCCCTCTCTCCCTCTCCCTCTCCCTCTCCCTCTCCCTCTCCCTCTCTGGAGTGAGGATGACTTAACCTGGGCAGGACTGCAGCAGCAAGGAAGGCAAACTCAGTTCTGGCCTTGAGTACCACGCATAGTAGCTTGGCTGGCATGTTGCTCTTAGGAAGCGCACCTAAAAGAAGAGTTTCCCAGTGCATAGGGAAAACACACTTCCCACTCTTCTCCAAACACAGGGAAAGGCTGGACAAGAAAGCACGCCTCTCCACCTCTCGCTTTTTCTGTGCTATTGATCATAGGTCCCATAAAATGAACCTACTGAATTTGCATGCTTTCTTACATGAGGCACTTGCACTCCAAAGCTGATACACCCCAGATCGGGAATGGTACAAAAGCACAAGTAGGTCACATCTGTGTTGCAATTGGTTTTGCTAGCATCCTGCATTAACACGCATGAAAATCTGTGTCCTGGTGCTATGCTTTGTAGTTCCATGGCACCAGCAGGAGCTTGTTTATTGTGGGCTTTATAGACGTTTTGATTTGATAGTTTGAGGGGTTTGATATGCAAAAATCATTCAAGAACCTGTTTCTTAGCACAAAGGCTTGCCTTTTCCATATCGTGGGGATTGGACTGCTGTAACGAGCCATGTTCCCAGAACAGCTATTTTGCAGCTGTTCCTCCAACTTTTTAGTGGATGTTGTGCTATTTCAAATAGGTGCAGTATGTACGCTATTGATATTTAAGGTTGAATTCAAATTTAGGTATATGCACTTGGGTTCTTGGGAGTTCCTTGCTTCCTCACTCCTGTGCACTCGCCCTCCCTCCCCACACACACCCTCCCTAGAGCAGGTCTTCCAGCCCCCAAATCTCAGGCAAAGTCACCCTGTGTGAGTAGAGCCCTGCCATCAATGGAAGGCAGCTCATCCAAGACGTTATGTAAACCACCTTCGCTGTACTCCTATGTAGTAGAAATAATTTTACTAGTACTCAAGGCCATCCTTGATGAAAATCTCATACAGGGCATACAAAAAAAAAAAAAAAAAAAAAAAAAAAAAAAAAAAAGCCACAATATATATTTAAATACAAACCAGTTTCCAATTAAAAACAATAAAAATGAAACTTTCTACTAAAAGCCAATGACGTAGACTTAAGGTCAGGGGCTACAAGGAAGTCTTAAAGAGCTTCCCTGAAGACTTTCAAAGAGAGGTCTAATGACCGCCAAATGAAAACAACTTCCAGAGTTGCAGGGACACCAATGTGAAGGCCCTCTCCCTTTGCACTCCATAGCATAACAGTCTTGTTGCAGCCTGATAAAAAGGCCCTGTTGGTCCCAGAATTCATGGCGCAGGAAGTCCTTCAAGCAGCCTGAGTCCAAACCATGTAAGGCCAGCAGCGTGCTCTGATCAAGTGGGGAGGTTTTGTGGAAACTCACACCCCCCCCCCATTGTTCCCACATGAGTGTTCTAGGTTGGTGGTTCCCAAATTAGCTACAGCACTACAGCTAAGGGGCTATCTTTAGAAAAAGGGCTTCAAAGAACATTGGTTATTGGTTTGAAATTTTTACAATTTTAAATAATATTTGCAGATAAAGATGAAGCCAATACACTCACTCTGAAATCAGAAGTATGCATGTACTGGTAGAGTTACTTTGGTTGGACAGATCCAAGCAAATTCAGAGAGTACCCTCAGAAGCTTACTTGGTTGTAGTTGAAAAGTTTCAAGTGGCTTCCAGACAACTGGGACATGACATCCTGACAAAGGGCATACCTAGTAACATGTACGCCCACTGTTTCATTTTTCTATGTGTTCTTGTTAGTGAAGTTAGTGCCATCTTAATTAGAATGTGCCCATTTCCTTGTCTCCACTATTTTTCAATTAGGTAACAGAGAACACATTTCAATTAAATGCTAGGATACTGTTAGCAGCATTACTTCTACACAACAGAACAGTTAACAGTCAAACAGGCCAGAGGAGCAAAACAAGGAAACCTGGTTGTAGTATGTGACTTTACTATGCTTGACCTCTCATCAATCAGTGTTACAACTGTCTTTCTCTTCAGGCAAAATAAAGTGGGAGCAGAAAACACAACATAAGACAAGTTTTCCTCCAGCTGTTTTTCTACAACATATCTCTCATAAATATCCACTGGCCACACAAAATTGTTGCATTTCTTTATTTCTGTGTCATGTACATACAAGGAATTGAGAATAGCTTGATGTGTGACATAAGCAAGTTTTATACAGGTTTGTAAATAGTGAGCAATATTACAGAAGAAACAAACAGCACTTCATAAAAGGATAGGTCTTTCATCGGGAATTTCCCATGATTGCTAAAAATGAGACCTCCAAGTACCGAGCCAAAATACATCATGTTACCAGATGCTTGGAAAAAATAGGCTATCACCAGAATGATATAATCTGAGCATTTCTTAAAGGCAGCTAGCTGACTGGCCACTGCTGACAGCAAGAGTGCTTGGCTAAACTGACCACTGGTCTGATCCAGCACGGAAATTCCAGGTTTAATTATCTGGAAAAATAATCCAGTATATACTTAAGAGGACAACAACCCAGTTGTATATGACCAACACTCTGCACATTTATCAGGTAAGTGGCTGCCCCATGTAGGCAACATGTCCTTAGTAAATGATAAAGACTACATAAAGACATGATGCGTTAAAATCTGCCTTGCTTATAACAGGCATAAAATAAATTTATATTCCAAGACCATTAGGATACAATCCTATAAACACTCTAGGCAGTAAACCCTATTAAACTTGGTAGGACATACTTCTGATAAGCCATATGTAGAACTGTACTGTTGAATTGTGCACGTATAAGAAAAGGCTCTTCTATTTCCACTCCATTACTATAATTTGCAATGGATCTTGGTTTATTACAACAAAAACTGTGTCTTGTGGCATCTTCATAGATGTATTATGAACTGTATCAGTGATAGGCTTTACTGGGAGACTAAACTGGAAGGCTTTCCAGAACACTTTTTTGGATAACTTACCAATGCCTGAAATTTATTGGGATCTGCTGTGAACATGGTGCATTCCAAATTTATAGAGCTGTATCAGATCAGTCATGTGCTACTCTTTGTGGAGGTAAAAACATGCTTCTTTGCCTCTTCATGGAACCCCACCATTCTCTAGGCACCTTCTGAGAGCAGAGGCTTTCCATTCACAGAAGGCAAATCATATATCCAATTCATGTAAACTTTATAAATACCCTCAAATTCTTCCTATGCCCCTAAGTATTTGAACAGAAATACTTGACAGGGAAGGGAGAGAGAGAAAAGAAACGTTTTGGGCTTTAAATGTTCTATTAAAACAAATATGTTTTAATTAAAACATTTTAAGTATTGCGATAAATATAAACCACCAAGATTTAATAACATTAACTTCCTAGCATAAAGCACTATATACAATTTACACATTAGTGAGGGAACTGAAGGCACTGAAAGCATCCAGAGTTATAGCCATCTGAAAGAGGAAGTAAACAACTCTGAAACTGCCTAATTAACTATTGCATTACCCATGTATTACACTGCTAATTAGTTCTATGAAGCAATGTAGCTTTAGAAGTGGAAATATTAGACTATACTTCATCAGATGCATTAAGTGTTATGGGGATGCAGTGCATGGATGTGAAAAATTGAAAAAAAAAAGTAATGGGGCCACATCATACATTAGGAGCAGATATATTTTTCCAGAACCTAAAAAGCAAGTAGTCCTACTAGCTCTTTTGCAATCTACAGTCACCCCCTGCATTTCACCGCCTTTCAGCCCCACTTGCTACTGTTTTCTTAGGTATGAGAACTTAACTAGTAACACATCATAAGATGCCGCAAGATGCTGCTTTTGCCACTTTTGTGCATTTGTAGCAAATTTAGAAGGAAACTACAAGAGCCAGTTCTGCATCTACCAACTACCTACACATGGCAAGGTGTGAATACAGGTCCCGGACCCCATGCACCAACCCCACTGCCATGATACTTCCTCTTAAAATGGGGGAGGGGGTGTGACAGAAATGGAAATTTGGTTAATCGAGCATTCATTCATATGTACACTCATTACCTATATGCAGAGGTGGGTCCACAACACCAGTGTCTGCTATGGTAAATAAAGTGTATACTAGGAACACAAACCTTGATACAGGAGTCCTAAGACTGTTATAAAAATATCTGTGCAATGTACCAAAAATACAAAATGCTACATGAAAGTCAAGAACAAAACAAGGACAAAGACAACTCCCAAGACAACTAATACTGGGGAACCAAAAAGTCCATGGCACCTAATGAGAACACAGGAGCAACTTACAGCAGATATTCTGTGCACCGACACAACCACCATCTACCTTCTAGCTCAGTTACACAAGTGTATGCAACTGCAACAGAAAGTTACAGAAACAGATTTCTAACTAAATACTTGAATGGTGACCTGACATACATGAAGTGGAAGCTTTTCTTATTTGAAAGTCCTGGTTTATTTTTACAGTTTGCTTAGCACCTTCTTTACGGTAAAACTTGAAAAAATGGGATATGGAAAATGTCTCCATATCTGAGTAGAAAAGTATGGTGCTCTCAGGGAAGAATATTTAAGACAGAGCCCTCATCCTAGTCAAGGGACAACAGCTGTGTGTTAGTCACAACAACGCATTTCCTTAGAAGAGGACAGTTCTAAAATAATGTTGAAAGGATTTTAAACTAATTTTCAAAGACCTAAACAAAAATTTCTAAATAAATAAAGATAGGTTGGAATCAATTTGTTTAATTTACAATAGGGAAAATTGTGATTTTATTTTCAGAAAGTGATCTATATAATTCCAATACCAAACAATGAATTACTGTTCTGCAATCCTACGTTTGTTAACTTGGAAGTAAAAAGAATTCAGCAACATAGGATCAGGATGCATCTTGGTTGCATCTTTTAACCCACCTTCTACAACATTTCTTAAAACCCACCTGTGTACAGGATACATTTGTATCTGCTGAATTACATAATGTTAAAAATCAATGCAGATTTAATCTTTGAGCAAAGGTTTTCCTTACAGACGAACAGCCAAATCTACAAAATTGAGTTATCTACTTCTCACACAAGCAATCTCAGGTTCCTACTTAAGTGTATGTCCATGTTTATTCTTACAACAGTGGATCATTCCTAAAGCCTTTCTATAATTTATTTCTGGAAAATGCTATTAAGCTATGTATACACAAGGCTGAAACCAAGAATGGGGGTGGGGTGTCACACCAGTGAAACGAAAGCTGTTCCCATCACTCTGTACCCCATCCATGAACTTTTGGCACTGCCCCCCGCCATACACACTACTACATATGCAGTTATCTGCTTATGCATTTATTATGCACTTTTCAGATTTCTTGTCTTTCTGAAACTTTAAAAATGGGGGGGGGGGCTGCAGCCTGCACTGTGCACATCTGGCTTCATCTTAAAGTAGAAAGACAGGCCAGCCCCCAAGACCAGTGACTGCAGTTCCACAGCTGCCTATCAACTGAAATTGTATGCCTGCAAACCATCTCTATGCTTTAAAGCAAAGGAATGTCACAAGGATCGCTCCCATTCAAGATTTGATCATGAAAGTTTTGACTCAAAAGAGGAAATTCTCCAGACCAAGTTGGACCTTAAGTTGTGTTGAATTCTTTAAAAGACTAAAATTATTATTATTATTTTGGTCACCGGATGTAAATGAACAAAATACGCTCTTCTGTTAGAAAGAACAAGCCCCTTAACTCAGGTAACCACATCTTTATACTTTTACCATACATTTTCAATTATAGACTCCATTCACATCCAAGAATCTCTTAAAGAAAAATCTGAATGAGAAACCAATCAGATATTTATACTACATTGATAGTAAAATGTTGCACTATTTCCTGTCTATTAGAAGAGAGACTAAGTTCAAAAGATGAACCAGAAAAAGATGCAACAACCAAATATACAGATAATTAACTAAAACAGTGAACATTTCTATTGTAAATGTTGATGACATTTCATGTATTTCTCCCTTCCACCTCAACCCAACAATGGCTATTGGATATCAAGCTAAAACCAAAATTTTATCTCAATGATTGTAATTAAAGGTTTTCATATGCATAATAGTATGGTATCTTTTCAATAATTTTTCAGACAGGATCTTTAAAAATTGCCATTATTCAGCCACAATATTTAGGAGGTATATCAAAAGAAAATGTTCTTTAATTTAGTCATGAGACATTCAGAGTTTACAAAGTAGTTTCAAATAAAACTAGTAAAAGTGAATCCACACTTTGGATTGGCACAAGTTTAAACACATAAAATTTACTAAAGAAAGAAAAAGTTAGAGAACTTCAAACAAGATGCAGTAATTAAAATAATCAAAGTCGTACCATGATTAGAGACCCAACACTAGATTAATAAAAAGAGCATTACTACGTAACAAAACAAAAAGAAATTCTGCATCTGAAGTACAAACAAGAATTTTATAGCACAACTTTAATTATTTCTGACCTATAAATACAAGGTCAAGTCAAACCTGTTGTCATACAAATCAAAATGTTCATAAAACAAAGGCAAGCCAATAAACAGTTGTGATCTGCCAAAACATTTACCTCACTAGTAGCATCTACAGTATCACTTGGCAATTGTACAGAAGGATTCCATATGCCCATCAAGCAGGTTTCTGTAAAAAAAGTGACTATACACAAATCTGTACAGAGAGCCAATCGTACATTTTTCAATTCACAGATTCATCGACTTAAAGCAGATGCCTTCAGCTTCTTCAGACCCAAGATCCATCTTAAACCCAACCCTGAAATAACTGTGACTCCATTTCTCTTCCCATCCTTCTCACTGTCTTAAACTAAAGCCCTAAAACAGAAAACGGTGGCAGTGCCACTAGTGCACCCACTTTTAGGTTGAGACACAACCCACATACGTATACGGATCCATTAGGTGAAGGCCAATGACTTAAAGCAAGATACCTGAGATTTCACAATAGCTTTCGTTTCCTAACTGCAATCCTAAATATACATCTCAGAAATTTAAAAAGATACCTCTTTTGAATATGTGCATTATTTGTTTTTTTTAAAAAACTATACAGAGCTGGAAAACAATGCCCTTGCTAAGACACCAACTTCTGCTGCTGCACCTTCAGGAATGTCCGTACACTGAAGAGCAAACCACTGTCCAACAGGAGACACCAACGTTAGCGCAGGTGCATACAGGGGCCCCACGGAGGCAGCCAACACGTGACACAATACTTCAGTGCGACGCTGTGCTTCCTCCAGACACTGAATACCTAGAGAGAGAAAAAAGAGTGTTTTAAAAACAAGAATAGAGATCAACATATTTTGAAAAATTAACAAGGCAGAGGCTTCAACTGCTGTTGCTGAACAGGTTTACAAAGTGCTTCAAAGCAAGCGGCCTGAGCAAGCATTAAGGCTACAGGCCTATCCCAGGCAGTCCCAAATCTACATTATTCATGTCACAGGTTTTCAAAAATATACCCTGGAATCCAAACAGATATGTAAGACTTGAACTGCTCCTGGATATGCGATAATAAAGGCCTATTCCATGGACAAATGATACCTGCCACTATTAAAGTAGAAGCATTTAACACAAGCTCAGTTTAATGGTTTTAGGGTTTGGAAATATAATCCCAGTCATTGTTTATCAGAAATGGATACAAGGAAACAATTCTAGAAAATGTGCAAGGCTAACATAAGGAAGGAAGTGGCACATAGGTATTCCAACTGAACTCTACCAGTATTCAACAAAAAAGACCAATCTTTCAATTTGTGAAAATAACTATGCTACAGGAAGGCAAAGCTTTTCTTAAAACAACAACTTGTTACAGGAGCAATGTCATCCAGGAGCCAGTTCAGGTGTGGTTTGTGGGCTGTTTAGAGCCATGAATTGGTGGGGCAACCACAGCAAGCCAGCCAGCCAGCCTGCTGCCCCAATACGCTTATCACTTCCATTTAAACTTCGTTACAGTAAAAGCCATATAAAAAGGTACATATTTCTCTAGCAGTTTTCTACGTCCAGATGCAAACTTATTTACGGTTACCTCTGAAGTCTCTGCACTAGCTCTGTAACCATGGTATCTGAAATGCCTGGACATGCCTCTTCAGCTAAATAAATAGCCTCCCTCAGTTCTTCTATGGATCCCATGCTCCCCCCAGAAGCTTGACTTCTTTCTTTCAGCTAAAAATCAGAAAGGTATCAGCAAACTGACAGATATAAATGGAGACATACACATGCAACAAACCTGTTCACAAATATATCCAATATAATTGCTATAGAAATTGAACCAAGTAGTGCACTTAAAAGTTCTGAGACTGAACACGGCCATTTAACATATTCTGAATGTATTTTATCTCATCCAGTAAATTCAACCAAGAAAAATATAATTCTTTGATGGAAGTTAAAGCATCAGTGAAATGAATCCCTTTCAGGAACTTTAGGACCTTTAAGTAAGGTAACTTTAGCTTGGCAACTCTATGATTTAGCAGTCTTAATTCCCACTACATAATGAGCTGAATCTAAGAATCTGCCATATGCATTTCAGGTTCTACTAACATGTTAAAAACTAGACAAAACCTGCAATCCAAGCTGCCTTCAGATGACAGGTTTATGCCTCTGGAAAGACATGAAAGTATTTTTCCCCTATCATGAGTGACATATATGTTTTAGGACTAGCCTTTCATAATGGAAAATACAGTAATGTTTCTTGTTTACTTATTTTAATTTACCACTCAAGGTCGAAGACTCTCAGCACGGTTGGCCATTTAAAAGCAGTTAAATAAAAGTTGCGTATGTGCGAGAGGAATAGTTAGCTCTGCTCACATCCCTCACTCCCCCTAGTGTCCTAATCAGGAAGAAGGAGGCTTCGGCGAATGGGGCGGCATAAAAATGTTTTAATAAATAAAAAATAAATAAAATAGACTAATTAGAACAGCTGCCATGCTTGCAGTTTTGTTTCTCATGGGGCCTTTTGGGTGCAAGGTGGTATCCCATGGCTGCCTTTGCTTAGCTGGTCACCACAACTGACAGTATTTCACACATCTGCCAAGTTCTCCAAGTCTGAATACTAGAAAGGGAGCGGGGCAGGAAGGGGAAGCAGGACACACGGCTGCCACGGAATGACACTTCTTTCTAGGGAAACTCAGGCCCTCACTGGGAGTACCTGGTCCCCCCCCCCCCACCCCACTACTTCCCCGGCAAAAGCTGTACACACTGAACAGCCACTGCAGTATGGTTTATTCCCCCCATCAAGGGAAGCATGAACCTTTGTGAAGGTGTGTGCACACATGGCTCTCTCTACATCTTCTATTCCTAAAAAATAAGAAAGCCGACAGAATCTGCTTTACTCAGTAACTCTAGGCTGGCCTGAGTGGTCCCACTTCCCCCTGCAGTGGGAAGAGCCACCCAACACTTGGATCACAGTAGGTCTATTCCTGCCATCACTACTCTAAAGCTTTCCCCAAAACCAGATCATTTGGACTTCAACTCCCAGCAGCACCAGCCAATGGGGTCAATGGTCAAGATGCTGGGGATCTTAGCCCAAATCACCCGGACAGCACTAAGCTGCCACAACAGCCAAGAAAATCAGGATGTCCCAGTGTGAGTGAGATCTCGGCCATGAACTCCCCAGAGTAGCTGTAAACATGCCACTGTCTCTGTCCCAATCCCCCATTTCCTACAATAGAGCATGGAACTGATTTCTCTTACAGAACTATTTTAAGGACAAGATAATGCATGAGGAATTCTCTGACACTTGAAAAGGTGCACTCGCACTCTCTCTCTCCACACACACACACACACACAATTATATATATAGCATATAGCATTTATATATGTATAGTATATTGCTTCTACTATTACAACTGTAAATGATAAAAATATTAATACAACTAAAGAAAACTTATTTTTGAACAACTTCATTCAGCTAATATGACATGTTTTTATAAGAGCAAAGCGTAGTTGCATTTGCTTTCTTACCCTTTTCATACACCTTATAAGCTAGTTACAAGAAATAAGCCAATAATTTACCTCTGCGAATAATGGGGATATAATTGTAGATAAGCACCGAGACAAAGGCCGCCTTTGAATGGTATTTTCCTTAAAGAAAGAAAGGGAAAGAATTCCACAACAGACCAAAACTAGACACATTAACAAGTTAGCTAAATCACTTAGCAATTTATTCCCAACGTTCTCAACTTGCACCCATCCAGGTACAAATATCTGAAGTATCCATTAATGCAACTTTCAAATTAACCTTTTTAAGAGGGAATAAGAGTTGAGGGAAACAGGATAATTATATACCAAATAATCACTTTAGTTGCTTATAACATATTTCTTGATCATTTGTAGTCTTGATTATTTGATATCCTGAAACATTTTGTATTGGACGAGCTATAAATGTCTTCTAAAAATAAAATATTTGGTGTTATAATCCATGTAGCCAAGTCCATTCAGGAATTCTAAATACCCAAATGGATATTATCAGTACACTTGACAGTTGTTCACAAAGAACTTGGTTTACTACTAACAAGACTGGGAAACACAGCAAGGAAAGTAACTGCACAAACACATGTGTGCACATGTACTGTACAAACTAGCGAACCACAAACCAACTTTGAGGATGGCACACAACTGCTGCACAAGCGCTGCCTGGCGCCACAGCGATACACTTCAAGAACAGTGTGACTGCTGCCGCCACTACCACAACCCACCCAGTGGTGATGTAGCACCAGAGCGAGGAGAGAGGACACCTGTCAGAAGCAGCGCTGAGAATGGCTTGCCTACCCAAACATAGCAGAGGGCTTTCCCGGTACAAGGGAGCAAGTGGGTGCTCAGCTTCAGCACACACGGAGGGGGGCTCCTTAGGGCAGGGCCCCTGCTCGGCCTCTGGATTTCTTCCTCCAGCTGCAGCTCTTCACTCCACATCACGCTGGCTGGACGGGCTTTTCACACAGCACTGGGAACGGCTAGCAGGCAGAACCTAACAGGCTGTGGCGACTGCTGCACAGCAGCCTCGCCTTGCTTTGGAGTTCATTCCAATTTGACAGCAATCCAGTCTGAACAGGATTACAAACACGGGGGCAGATGTGTGGGACACGGTTTCAGTCATGGCAAAAGATGCGCACTGCTACCTCTGAACTGCAGAGGTGGCACAGCTATTTGCTCTGACGCTATGTTACACAAGAACCCGCTGTGTTGAGTCTGTGTTGCTCCTATCTATTTCAAAGCAATTTCTGCAGACTCCATGGCGCACTGCAATTTCGAATGTGCATGAAGTTATGAACCGTACACAACTCAGAACAGACTTCACATTATGGCAATCAAATCATGCACAACTACTTAAAATACTAGTGCCTGGTTTCCTGCAATCTGTCTAATATAAAGAATACCTTGTTTCTTTCCCATTCGTGTAGCTGGGTAGCTCCGTTCTCTAGATTCTTGGGATCTTTCTCTCGGATTGTAAATATCCAGTCACCGGAATCACTGCCACCTGAGGCTTGGCCATCTGTTTCACTTTAGCACAAAAATATTTATACATTATTGCAATGTTTTATTTTATACCATAATATTAGAAAGCAAAGCCTGCAGTAATTAGGAGCAACTAAACTTATTTAGGGACAGTTTAGACAACCTCTGCATTTATACCTTCAGATAGCTCAACAGTCTATAACACGGCACACTAAAGTGTTAGCAGGTTTACGAAGTATCAGTCTACTCCTATCATAATTTCAGACTACATTCTCCGCCTGTTCAAGATGAAATCAGACATTTGCAATGATAACCTGTCTATTAACAGCAAGTCATACTCTGCAAAGGCTTTCGGATAGCCTTGTCTATGCATACACGTGCCCACACGCTTTACATTATCTTCCCCCAGGAAGGGAAGAAGCAATCATGGCATGGGAACAGGATCATAAGGGCACTTCTGGACTGTGCAAGGATCAGGACGCGGGCAGAGGACATACAAAACATGCAGTGGCTGAACAGTCAGAGACTGGATGTCCTCAGGATTCTCAGGCTTGAATAAGGTGCCCTGCCTTCACAAGCGGAGCTGGGCAGGGCCTCTTCAGAGACTAGGATGGTGCTGGGCCACAATCAGGTTTTATCTTTTCCAGGAAGAGGATAACAATAGCATTGTGGTGAAAGCATAGGTAGACTCGGTGTAATACAACACATACCAAAACTTAACTATTTTATAAAACGTCACTCAACAGGTTTGGGGCTTCTAAGTAGCTGAAACAGTGTTTCATAGTTCTCCAAACATAGGAAAAGCTTATCATTAACAGCACCAACTTTTTCTTCTCTTGCTCTACGGCTTTCATACAATCAAACCATTGAGTGAGGGGAGGGGAAGCACATCTTGCAGAACACTTTTCCTAAATATGGAGGCATCACAAACCGCACTTTCTTGATGGCTGCTCCCAGGCAGTGAAGCCTGGTGCTCCCTGCAGAGGGGAGGCAGCATTTGCTCCCTCTCTGCTCTCCTCCTGGCGGGCAAAAACATTGCATTCAAGCAAGCCTTTGGCATGAAAGAAGGCCTGCTGGGTTACATGCCGCTGCGTTTTTAATCGTACCTTAATGCATTTATTATTTTATTTATGAATGTGAGCCATCTTGAGCGCCATTTTTCTAGGTACTAATACATAATTACATACTAATTCATTATTACAAATGCATAATTTGGACCCTGCTGTGCATCCTGCCGACTCTTTCTCCCCACCTTCTTCCTCTACCCCGCAAAGGGCAGTTCTCCTCTCAAACCTACCCATCAGAATCTTCAGAGCTGGAGTTATCATGGTTCTGATCAGCCTTCCATCTTTTATGCCGGTCAATTAGATCTGTCAAATAAGAGGTTTTCTTTGCATTCCGTATTATAAATTTGTGCTTCAGGAGTTCTTTCGCTGTTGGTCTCTTAAAATTAAAAAAATAAGTTCCTTTACTAAATGTACCTCTGCTATCGAGAGACTAGACGTGCCCAGAGAGACATTAGGTAAGCTTTTTAAAAAAAAAAAATCCTGTTTGATACTACAGAAGGCATAAACTTCCTGTGGTTTTAAGTTAAAATAAACGTAAGTGGATTGACTGACCACACCTGCCTTTAAGTGTGGATTTATTCAAACTGAAAGATGTTGATTTACCCAAACACAATGTGCAAAGAGGACAACACACTTAAAGCATGCTATCAAAATGCCCCAGCTGTCAATCCCTAGTTTCTCTATCTGCTATTCTAGAAGTGCCAATTGAGGCAACATGAAGACAAAGCAGTTATGGAAGGAAGCAAAGAAAGGGAGAAGGTACTAACAGAAAGTTGATTACAACCCCTCATCTCATCCAAGTAGTTCTACAGCAAAAGAAGCTGCCAACAAGGAATATGGAAGTATGAGACACTGCAGGCAGATTTGTTTTAATGTAGGTAATTTCTCAAATTTAGAAGAATATTTCATTCCCAGACACTGTAGGCTAAGGCTGCAGTTTTGAGTAGTTCCAGAGTGAAAATCCTAGTAAACTAAACGGGACTTCTGAGCAAACATGTAAAGGACAGAACTTTAAATGTTTCTGGAGAAGTGACACCAATCTGTCATCAATGTCAACCAGACACAGTGTGAACAGAAATAAATGAAGCAGAAATGAAGCAGAAAAGGCTTTAACAGGATATGCATGCAGTACCTTCCCTGCACTATTTAACTGAAGATAACTTTGCTTGCTGTGTAACTTTGCATGAAACCCTCTCAGTTCTCTTCTAGCTTTACAGAATACTGATCAAAATAACAATTGTATGAATTTTACTTAAATTCTCAGTTTAATACTAAGAGAGCCAGTATGAAGTGATGAATAAAGTGTTGGACTGGATTTTCATTCTTTCTGGGCCATGAAGCTCACCAGATGACTTTGGGCCATTCTCTGTCTTAACCCTAACCTACCTCACAGGATTCTTGTTGTGAGGATAAAATTGAGTGGAGAACTATGAAAACCACCTTTCCTTGCAAAAGACAGAAAGGCAGTATATAAATATAATATAGTAAGTTAAACAGCCAGTATGAAATCCCTTATCATAATTATTTAAAAATGTTGAAAATCATTTAATAATGATAAATACATTAAGAATCTATTGATGTCAGAATATATATTATTTTTCTATTGCAACAAATAACATGAAGCAGAAGAAGGTACAAAATAACTTACAAAGCTTGGGTCCTTGTTCAAGCAAGCCTCAACAAACTCCTTCAGAGCTTTACTGTAATTTCCTTCTAATGTTGGTGGATTGTTCTTTGGAATCAGGAATAACACCTTCATTGGATGCAATTCTGAATGTGGTGGCTCACCTTTTGCAAGTTCTATGGCTGTTATGCCTAGTGACCAGATATCTGCCTGTAATGCACAAGGATTTGTAGCATAAGAAAGCGGCATCTGGAAGTTTTCCACTGAAACCAACTGCAAGATTTTCTCCATTTTACTGACCATTTACAAATATGCACATCTGCATCCTAATGTTACATATTCAAATTAAGCAGAGTCAACTTCAAATGTGATCATGTCTATTCAACATGTTTACAGTACATAGTATTTCTGACAGAAAAGGCAGAAAACTGTTCTTACCAGGTACAGGCGTGAGCAATAATAAACCATGCAAAATTCTTTTTGGCACAGGGAAGGAGGTGAAGTACTTGTCCCACTACCACAGATTGGCCACAATCACCATTCCATTAGCTTCCATTAAGGAAAAATCAAGTCTCTAACCCAAGCCTCTGCATAACCCAAGATTTAAAATTTGTTTGTTTGTTTCCTTGTTTAAGATTTTTGCACACTGTCTGACTACAACTGTTTTGGAACGGTCTTACAATAAAAACAGGACAAAAATGAAACATAGTATCGAATAATAAAATCATACATTAAAAACCTAATCAGCTTCTAAAATAATGGGCAAATAAAAAGGTTTTAGCCTGGCACCAGAAAGAATACAAAGTTGGTACCAGGTGAGCCTCTCCTGGGAGCACATTCCATAACCAGGGTGCCACCACTTCTCCAGGTAGCCACCCTCATAATCTTCTTCAGGCTCCCAAAGAAGGACCTCCGCCCCAGATCTTAAGGGGCAGGAAGACTCACAGGGAAGGAGGCGCTCCTTCAGATATCCAGGTCCTAAGTCATTTAGGGCTTTATAGGTCATCACCAACACCTTAAATTGGGCCCAGGCTTCAACTGGTAGCTAGTGTAGGTGGTAAAGGACCGGCATTACGTGTGCATACCTGCCACTCCCTGTTAGTATCTTAGCTCTATTCTGGACCAACTGAAGTATCCAAACCATCATCAAGGGCAGCCCCACGTACAGCACATTACAGTAGTCCAACTGGGAAGTTACCAGAACATGGGTCACCGCTGCTAGGCGTCGCTCCTCCAGGTAAGGACACAGTTGATGGACCAGCTGTAGCTGAAGGAAAGCGCTCTTCACCACAGCTGCCACCGGTATATCCAGTATTTTGCCCATTTGATTGGTAAGCAATTACCTTGCTCCTCCCTTTGAGTGCTGATAGTTAAATTATGGCAACAATCAACACACTAACTGGTGAAGGGACTTTTGGAATCATTTTAAAGCTTTCTTATTTGGACTTCACTGGTGGGAAATTATTGTTGCTCCGTTAAAAACTAACAATTCAGAAATCTAAGGTTGTACCGGAACTTTGGCAGGGGTAGTATATCCACTCAAACACAAGACATAGTAGCCAAGGCAGGTGTTTCATGATATTTCTAACTCATTTCTTACTCAAAAAGTGTCATTTATTTATTTAACTTATATCACACTGTATTGCATTAGCCCAAGGGCTCCCTAAATGTTGCATCCCCCACCCTAAGTTTATAAACATTTTAAAATTATCTAGCCAAGGTATGCAGAAATTCATTGTTATACCCAGACTGAAGAAGGCAGGGACATGGTTACAGAAGTACACAGATCTGCACAACTGCCCAATGCAGTTACACAGCAGTTACTGGGGGAGAGACAGAGTAATGCAGGACAAACCTCCAGTATACTCCAGCATTGTTATCCACTCTTCTGCCATTTCCTTTGGTAGGGAAATCCAGGAGGAGGGTGCGATGGTTAATGCAGCAACAGTGCAATTTATTAAAGACCAGAGCTAGAAGCCTGTCCAGGGACCTCGGTTTTTCCCTTAATGCAAGCCTAACCAGCTACACAGAAGCAAAAGGCACAGGGGTGCTAGGGAATGCAACATGCCACTATGTTGGTTCGCCCGCAGCCCCTGAAAAATTCTTGCCAATACCTAAGTCACCCAAACCCACCTGTGCACATCTCAGCATGAAAAAAGGCGCTTCTTTCACCTAACAAAGGTGGCAGCAAACTGGAGCTCAGGCTAGGGGCTGAAAATTTTTGAGCATTAAATTTATCTTACCTTTGAATCATAAGCTGATTGCTTTATTACTTCTGGCGCCATCCAAAATGGTGTACCCACAAAGGTGTTTCTCTTTATTTGTGTATCAGTTAATTGTCCAGCTACACCAAAGTCTGCAAGTTTGACTTCACCTTGCTCAGAGAGCAGCACATTAGCAGCTGGAAAATATTTTTAAACACATTTGCAGTGTGAATATTTAAGCTTGTAGTGACTGAAAATGTTAAATGTTAACCCTACAGTTTTACCTTTAATATCTCTATGAATTTTCTTTTCTGAATGCAAGTAATCAAGTCCTTTCAGAATTTCTCTTAATATTGTAGCAATCTGGATTTCATCAAGAGAGCCAGGTTCTAACTAGAAGAAACACAACTGATTATTTTCAAGAAAAAACAGCACACAAACACAGAAGATACATCCAAATGAAAGACGTCCATTATTTTATGCTTTATTTTCTTCTAACTTTATGTATAGTTTTCTTAATGCTATCTAAGACTTTAAGTAATGCAGGAAACACATTTGCTTAGACCAGTGGTGTCCAAACCTTTTGCAAGGAGGGCCAGATTTGGTGAGGTGAAAACGTGTGGGGGCCGACCATTCAGCCTGACATTCTTTGAACCATTAACATTAAATGCAAATGAACTATTTTATGAAAGACTAAACAAATAACTTAACTGCACTAATGTGAAGGGTGATACTGAGATCTCGACTGCATTATATAGGCCAGGTCTGGCTCAAAAACAGTGGTTTTGATGCGCAAGATGTCACGCAGGTGAAAGTCACTTAGTCTCGTCCTCACGCGGTTCTTGTTAATGTTCATATCCGAGAATGTCTTCTCACACAAGTATGTCGAACCAAACAAGCTCAGCATTTTCTTAGCAAATGTTTGAATCTCTTGGAACCTGTCTTTATGCAGCTGGCGGTAAAAGTTGACAAGAGGGAGCTGTTGGTGCCGACTGTGACACTCAGCATCACACTGCAGCTCAATGAGCTCCAGCTGCAGGTGGTCTGGAGCGTCATCAGGGTCCACAGAGAAAGGAGATGAAAAAAGCGTGATCTCCTTTTCAATAGCTGCAAAATCCTGAAAGTGCTGTTGAAACTCCTCAGCCAGAGATGAGATGTCTGCTTCATACCTCCTTATTTGCGCACTCATATTGTTCTGTGGAAAACTGGTCATTATTTCCTGCAGCGATGGGAAATGTGTGGTATTGGGCTGCGTTTGTGACAGGTGCCTTTGGAAAAGTAGCAGCTTGGTCCCAGAGGCTTTGATATGTGAATATAGTTGGCTTGCCACTGCATTTTGCCCCTGAACCCGTGTTCAGCACATTCAGATGTCGTGTTATGTCAACTAAAAATCCAAAATCAGCCAGCCAAACAGGATCAGATAGCTCTGGCATCGGTTGTCCCTTTTTTTGCCAAGAATTGTCTGATTTCCTCCCTAAAAGAGTAGAAGCGTTGCAGTGCAGACTCCCAACTGAGCCATCTTACCTCGTTGTGATACACAACATCTCCGTATTCAGCCTGAATGTTGAGTAGAAACTGTTGAAACCGGCAGTGGCACAGGGCTTTGCAGCAAATATAATTAATAGCCTTCATCACCGGTTTCATAACATGATCATATTTCAGATGTTTGGCACAGAGAACTTGTTGATGAATAATACAATGGAGTTTTATAGCTTTGCCTCCTTCTTCGCTGACTTTGTTACAGACTAGGGTTGATAATCCACTTCGCTCGCCAGCCATGGCAGGTGTGCCATCCGTAATAATCCCAGTGACTTTATTCCACAGTAGTTTCATGTCATCAACAGCAGAACAAACAGAAACAAATAAATCTGTTCCCCTTGTTTGGTCCTTAAGGCTCTGGAGGTCAAGTAGCTCTTCACTCACGTTCAAGTCATTGTCCACTCCTCTCAAAAAAATCAATAACTGAGCGGTGTCAGATGCATCCATGCTTTTGTCACAGGCTAACAAAAAAAAGTCAAACTCCACTCCTTTTGCCTCTAACTGTCTCTTAATATCAGATGAAACGTCTTCAATTCTCTGTACCACAGTGTTACAAGCCAGGCAAGCACTGACAAACTCTTGCTTCTTCTCAGGACAACTTTTCTCCACCATTTTCATCACGCAGTCTTCACCCTCAGTAAAAGGTTTGCAGTGCTTGGCAATCAGCGTTGCCACCTTGTAGCTCGCCTTTTTGGCATTTTCATTTGACTCACGGGCTCTTGTGAAAAAGCACTGCTGTGCCGTTAAAGCAGCTTCCAGTTCCTTCAATTTTTCGCCACGTCCGTTCCCAGTTAGCTTGTTGTAGTTAGCATGTTTCGTCTGGTAGTGCCTCTTGATATTGAATTCCTTGAAAACAGCCACAGCCTCTTGGCAAATTAGCAGACACAGTTGTTTCGTATTTCAGTGAAAAAATACTCCAATTTCCACTTGTCCTGGAAGCGGCGACCCTTGCAGTCAACTTTTCTTTGTTTAGTTACAGTCGCCATTTTAGAAATGGGCACACAAGCCTTGTGCCACAAGGGTCACGCGGCAAGAGTGCTGACTCAGGTCTACTGCCATCTTCTGGTGAAATATAACCACCAGCCTTGAAGGAGCAGGAGGCAGCAGGGGACAGCTGCGGAAACCGCTGTGCAGTGAAGGGAAAAATGCAGGCCGGCTGAGCCGGCGGGGAGAAGAGGCTGCGGGCCGCTCGAAATTTGAAAACGGGCCGCAACTGGCCCCCAGGCCAGACTTTGGACATGCCTGGCTTAGATAGATGTCGAATGGAGTAATCGCACAGGGAAGAAAAGAACTTACTTTATTTTTAACAGAAAGTACTTCAGTCTTGGACTGAACAGGTAAGCTTCCCTCTTGCCACATGTACTTCTTTGAAAAGTAAAGGAGACACCTGCTTCTGCAAGTACTATCATCCCCAGTCATTGGCAAGTTCTACCAGGGATGATAGGAATCTCCTTTGTTTTTGCAAAGAAGGAACTCTGGGGTGCTGGAGCTGCTGTCACTTGTAATGCAAGCAGCAGAATAAATTTTCCACACAATTATGCCATAACTATGCTTCGACTCTATTTGCTTCATTCCCTTATTAGTTATCATACATTCCTGAAGCTAGCATTCCTGTTGCTCACAAGAATAATCATTTACAAATTCAGAGGAATTATTAATACGATTTAATTACCTTAATAAAATGTATTACTTACAAGATCAAGAGCAGAACCTCCACCAAGGTATTCCATTATTATCCATAATTTTGTATCCTGTTAATGTTGACAAAGTTCCATAAATAGTGGTAGAATTATTATTTCATGTCATTAGAAAGAATGCCAGGTATTTTTTTGCACCTTTCATTTTATGTTTGTATTTAACCACACATGAGAAATTTGGGGAGGACATAAATATGGCCAATTAATGGAAAACAACATATTTGAGATTTGGATAGCATTAATATCACATTTCCTTTGAATCCTTTTTCAAAAGATAAGGCATTGTAAGACAAACAAGGGATGGAAGGAGTTTTGTTGTATAACCAAACCACTTCTAAAGTGTAAGAAAAAATACATTTCTGAATGCAGAAAGCAGAATTTCTACTCATATTTACCCAGCAGTTTTTACCTCCTATTTAAAAGCTGTGTAAGTTTCAATTCTTCATTTATGTGATGGAATGAACTCATATGATTCAAACCAGCTATTAAAAAAGCAAAAGGGATGTTCCAAGCCTTAGGGGATGCTCAGGGCAGAGATCAATAAAGGCTGACAGACTTTCCTGAAAGATAACTTGCCTCACCCACAAATGCCATCTGCAGTGTTTTAGGTGTGTTCTAGAGTTCAGGAGCTTGCACAGAACACCAGCAATACCCAACAAGAGCCTTGCGGACTGGGTTCTCCAGAGCACTTCTTGGAATCCTCCTCAATACAAGGAACTTTCTCAACAAAAAAGCTGACATATTATCACAGCTCTATGAGATTAATTCAGGTGGTTTTAACATTTTGAAAAGATCAATTTGTTTTTAAATAAGCTGTTTGTATGTTTTTCATGTAAGTTGAAATGAAACCAAGATGTGATATGAAAGCTTAATAGCCATATGAAACTGAATCTATGACTATTAAATACACGGAGATGGTGGACTGCCATGTCGTCCCATCCCAGCACATTGTCTGCTTAGAGTGGCCCAGTTTTTGCAGACAAGCTATCCTGAGAACCATGGCTTGTTGTAGGGGTGGTCGTTGCTGTGGTAGGTTCTCATTCTACCCAAATCTGGAACAGCAATGTTATCATGGGTTGCGAGGATCAGCTACAGTGCTGCTTAGCAAGCCTAGCAAAAAAGCCAGTGCCACTCTTCAGAATCTCACAAGCACTACCTCCAGCCTCCCTTACCAGTGACAAACAAATGGCATTTGCAGAAACTGTGCTTTATTCACTACTTTGACGAGTTCTGGGACAGACCGATGTACTGTCCAATGGATTAGGGCATGGTTGACAGACTGAAGGCAGGGGGTAACTATTAATAGGGAATCAACGGGATGGCAGTCAGTGACAAGTGGGGTTCCCCAAGGCTCTGTCCTGGGACCAATCCTGTTCAATCTTTTCACCAACTACATGGAAGAAGGGGTGAACTTTCTGCTGATCAAATTTGCAGACAATACTAAAACCAGGGCTGTGGCCACAACTGAGGAGCAGGTACTCCAGATCCAAAAGGACTATGGAAGTAGGCAAGGGACAAAAGGAAAGCAATCAGTGCAGGTAAGTGAAAGGTCTTACAGCTGGAACATAGGAAAGGCGGTCATAAATACAGGTTAGGGGACAAGTGGCTGGAGAGCAGCACTTGTGAAAGGGATCTCAGAGTGCTGGTCAACTGTAGGCTAAACATGTGTCAGCAGTGTGACACGGCAGTCAAGAAAGCTAAAGCCACCCTTTAATGCACAGCCTGAAGCGTGGCTTCTAGATCAAGAGAGGTATTACTGCCACTCTGTATGACCACGGTGCGCCCACAGCTGGCGTATTGTGTTCAGTTCTGGGCCTCTCATTACAAGAGGGATGTAGCAAGGTTGGAATCAGTGCAGCAAAGGGTCACTAGGCTAGTGGCTGGTTTGCACGGTAAGCCATATAAAGAGAGACTGTGGGAACTGGATCTTTTGAGCCTTAAGAAAAGGAGACTCAGAGGGGACCTGTTAGTGACATATAGGTATGTGAGGGGGTGCCACACAGAGGTTGGGTTGTGACCTTTTTTCCCCTGCGGATGAGGGGAGGACACCTTCCAATGCAGCAAAGCCCAGGGAACCAAGATTAAGGTGGATGCCAGGAAGTACTTCCTGCTGGTCAGGACTCCTCGGGTATGGAATGGGCTTTCACGGGAGGTGGCCAAAGCCCCACTGGTGAGCGTGTTTAAGGATAGGCTGGACATGCACAAAGTAGGCATGTCACAAGTGGAGCTGGCTGGAGCAGGGGGGTCAGACTAGATGGCCCGGAAGACCCCTTCTGACTCACTCTGTTCTATTTCTATGTTCTGTGTTTCTACTTTTTTAAGCTTTGGGAATACACAAATGTATTCCTATTTCCCCCTGCTCCACAACATTCTTTTGAAAGTGTTCAAGAGTGTACTTTTGTCTGAAAACCATATGATCCTTACGTCAGTTCTGTCAAAGTGGAGTAGTAAATTGACATGGTTGCATGCAGGTTAATTTACCCACAGCTGTGAAGAGCCAAGGGTGAGATAATAGCAAGGTGAAGCAAGGGGTCCCAGCAGCACAATTGAGAAGCGCTGAAACTTGGGGGGAAAACAAATGGACTAAGTCACCAAAGGGGTGAGGGACAATGATCTCCCCCTTTGCAATGTAACCTTTAAGTGATGTGCTGACGCTTGCCAATGCCCTCCTCCCGTTCTGTCACGATCAAGTCCTTCTCTCTTTTCCTCTCTTTCAGTTTTAGACAAGAACTCAGAAGCACAATCTTTTTATTAGAGTTTAACTGGCTACAGTACAGTCTAAAGCAAAAGCAGGCTTTAACTAGAGCAGTGGGAGAAGCATCTATCCATGTTAAAGGCCGAGTCCAACCCTGAAACATCTCCTTGTTCCCTCCATTTCTGAAAAGATTCGGACTCCATCCTCAGGGTGGCTCCTGCTGTTTGAGGACTACATGGCAGGAACACTAGACATTTCTCAGCTGGTCTACTTGCTTCACATGACATCTCCTAACAGGGTCAAAGAACTCCCCTGCTTGTTCCTTCACTCACACACCTCCAAGCCCTGAATGTTTCTTAGAATGTTTTCTAAGGCTCTCTCTGAGAATATTCACCAAGTAACCTTCAAACTGCAAAATCATCTTTGCCCCTGGCCTCCTCCTCAAAATTAGATGCATCAATCTGAGCATACTGTGACATGCGGGACCTAGGCCCCCAATCTAACCATTTTATGTTTTGCCAAGTCCAAAAAGGGGATTTATTGGTTCTTTTTTCAAACTGTGAGCAACCTACAGGTGTGCAAATTTCCCTCCATGCGCCTCCCAGCCTTTACAGTTGCACAATATTCCTGGCAATCTTAAAAAGCAAAACTCTTTGAGGTGACTTAGAGGAATAGAACAAATTGAATGTTTGCACCAACAGTACTTACAACCCTCCCCAGCGACCCTATCCCAATTTAACAACCACTTGACAAAGGCACCTTCCATTGGAAGACAGCAGCTGCTAAAGAGCAGCTGGCCCCAACCTTGGACACTGACCCAAGAATAGTGGCTCAAATTGTGCTTCTCCCCTTTCATTCGATTTGTCAGTTGTCAAAAGGCAAACTGTCAAGCCAAACTAAAGGCACAAGCAGTCTGGCTTCAGAAACAGATATGCATCGCCTTCTTGGCAAGGTCCCCTTTTAAAAAACACATTGATGCCTACATATGCCCTGGTGAAAAACCCACTGGGAGCCATGTCAATCTTCCCCTTTAGCTGTCAAAACACAGCAGTAGGTCCCACTCCTCCATATTCCTGAGCACCTAACCTCTCAGGTACAAACTGAGATAGTGGAGTCACCAATCCTCAGAGGAACTTGCCAAAAGGAAGATATACATCCCACAGCTGCCTTTCTGAGAGCATACCTTGCTGGCACCCTTTGGTAACATGTCCCTCCTGGACATTGCCCAGGTGAGACTACCCATAATCAGATCCTGTAAGCTTGTAGGTGCAAACTTATGAACATCATATATGTACAGATACATATAAAAACGTGTGCAAATTAGGGGACCTCACCTAATTTATATACATATAAAAATGTGTGCTCACCTCGGGGGTCTCAAAAATAATTTAAAAGTTTAGCTTCAATCATGGAGAGCCCTGCAAAGGTGCTGCTAGGGCACTCTGAAGGGGCTATCGGTAGCTGTAAATCAGGGGTTACAACAAAAACCATTTGAGCTGAAAACAGCTTGCAATTGTAACACCGAGGGAGACAAGCTGGTTCTGCTGGTGTTCCCTGGGACACCTAGTGAAGAACTGAGGATGAAGGAATGATAGGAATAGCGAAAACAAGCCATGGTGAGCCTGATCATCTGTCGGGCACACTATGAGTTGCTTCTACAACCATCTGCCTACTGTGATTTATTGCCTTTATGGGTAGTAAAGCAAACTTCTCCATTAACAACTTTATGTAAAAGTATCAGCAACAGGAAAAGATACCTGACTTCTGAGATTAAAAATGAGCTGTTTATTACTGAGGGATTCTGACTGGATTGAGGGAGTGGTTACACTGGCATGCCATCATAAGCTACATTTCAGGAGATCCAATCTAGTACTGTACCAGCATCATTACCCAAATTCATGTGAACGAGTCTGTATTATATTCTCTACCCAAACTTTGCAACGTACAAGTCTCTCAAATTATCAATATTTATGATTCCAAGAGGAATACACTTTTTCTTTTATGCAGCTACACTTCCCTGCCCAGTAACTATAAGCTCTTTCTTCTGGAAGGTCTATTCCTCTATACATCTGCTGTAAGTTAGTCTTCAGCAAGTGATCTTTACAGCATATGCGCAGAGAAATCTTTTAGCTTCCTTAAGGAGCTACAATTATGTGCTGCAAAACACAATTCAGCTGCATGATCAGAGGTTTGGCTCCTGTGTGGCAATCTTTTAATTGCTATAACCACCAATCAAGCCTGTATATTCTGTTTAGAAAATATGGAAATTACAAAAAAGAAGACATATCAGGCTTCAGTAAGCATTTTTAAACAAATGTTACACAAGCTAGTTTTCACCTGCTTCCAGCTACCACAATTA